TAATTCGTGACGTTTTTCTAAGAACTGGGTGCTATATACTGTGCGAAATCAATCGATCATGCAAGAATAAATTTTTGGACATCCCTGTTCTAAGAATTCCAATTGAGTGTGTTAGTGTGGCCAGCTCAGGGCAATATGATATTATAAACACAGAACATATCACGTCTCTGCTGTTTATAAGTTCATAGGAAACAAAACAGGCCTTTCAGAACAGTAGAACGGAGCAACCTCTCCCAAGAGCAACAGGAACTTTGCTGAAAGACAGGCATATGTAACAATGATTTAGCGCAGCTAAACTCGTGGATTATTATACTCTGAACTACTGACAACAGGCCAGCGAAAAATCTAACAATCTACGGCAAAACCATCAATTATTATGGGCGTTATAACATAGGTGTGCAGCTGGACAAAACATACACGTCGAACCCCCCCAGACGATTTAAATACCTGACGAAACATACACGTCAAACCACGCCAACGGGTTAAACATTCCACTGTCATGTTAATACTAACTGCTTTAGCTATAGTTATACATTATGCAAATTAATATTTATGTTTCAGAGAAGGGATACTGCATGCGTGGTGACTTGTGTCCTTATGACCATGGAAATGATCCAGTTGTCTTAGAAGATGTTGCATTGTCCCATGTGCTTGCATTTGGTCCAAACCACCCACCATCTCATCCATTAGCCCCTCCAAGCACTGGACCATCTGCTCCACTAAATCCTCCCAGTACTTCACAACCATCAGCTGCAACAGAAGTGACAGAAGGACTATTGGAACATGGTGTAACTCAAGGAATTCCACTAGAACCTCCACCTCATCATGTGCCACGTCCAGTGCCACATCCTCACATGAGGGGACCACACCCAGGAAACATGGGTATGTTTCTTACATTGCTTCAATTTTGATGTTAAACCTAATAAACTTTAATGAATTTCAAAGGATATGTGAGCACTGAAATAGACATAAATTTTGCTTTTAACCGCCATCTGTGAGCCGATTGTCTAGATAATGTGGGACCCTCAACGTCTCACAACCCTATGGGCCTTCATGGCCTGTTACAGGGATAGCTTTTTTTTTTTTATTATTATTTTTTATGAAATATAGTTTTGAACCAGTCTTCAGAATGTGTTTGCTTATGTGTTTGGTGTGGCACCTATATGTTGATATGGGGGTGTTGTTTCAGAGTACAATCCAGATGCTCCAAGCATGGAACCAAGGATGATGTGGGGACGTCCACCATTCCGTGGTGGACCAGGAGGTATGTACATGCTTAAATGAAATATGACAGTTATTGGCAAGTGATTTATAGTTGAGATTGTGACTGAAATTTCAACATAAGAAATTTATTTCTAATTACAATGAAATTCTGTTTTTTATTTGTAATTTCATAGAGTTGAAACATGGCTACCCTCTCTTTTCCTTGATCATTCAGTTTGGTAGTTACATGTCAGTGCATGATGCTGAACAAATTGGTACTGTGATAGGTTCCTTCTAACTTTTTTTTATTTGGTCTGACACTGAATTCTTCATACTCATCTGTCATTACCCTTGATATGTGTGATGAATGTGACCAGCTTGACCAGCAATTACAATATCATAACTGTGGTCCCTGAGTTTCACTTTTGCTTGACACTTGGCTCTATTTGTAATGGGAAAGTTCTGTTAAATATTGGGACAGCATATTTTAAATGATAAAATATTGTAGCATATAAAGACCAATTGCTATGACCAACATTGGAAACACGATGAACAGCTTCCAACACACACTAGAACTGACAAGAAGTTGCAAATGGAGACCAAGAAACAACAGAGGCAGACGAGGGATGGCCAGCTGTCGGGAAACGAGAGCGTGCCAGCAGAAATGGGCAGTCATTAAGGCTGTTTCCTATATTTAGAGTTCTAATTTTCAAACTTCTCAGTGTAACATGTCCAAATATCATGACCTGTTACAGGGGCAGCTTTACCTTTTACACACTGAATTTGACAATTCTAATAAAATTTATTTATTTATTTTGCATAAAGAGTATGTTAGCCGTAGCCCCACACAGCCACTGCGATGTCTAGAATGTTCTGTGTGACTTCAATACAAGGAGTATAGTACAATTGTTGAGGATCTTGTGCCCTTGTGATCTTCACTATTATCGGTGTCATACTTTTGGGTTCTCCTACAAAACAAGTAGTGTAAGGCAAAGAAGGCAGAAATTCAGTACTACTCACTATTGGACCATGATCTGAGAAGGTTTAGCGAGCAGGCTGGCTCAGACAGTAATACATGAGCCCAGTTCAAATCTTGGTTGGAATACTGATTATCCTAACAGATTTTTTGTGGTCTACCATGGTTGCTTCACACAAATGCTGTGTAGTACCTGAAATGAGGCCGTGACTGCTTCTCTTCACATCGGTTCCAGCTCATTATTCACTATCATCCAGTCATTTGATGCTGTGTAGTACTGAAATGAGGCCGTGACTGCTTCTCTTCACATCGGTTCCAGCTCATTATTCACTATCATCCAGTCATTTGATGCTGTGTAGTACTGAAATGAGGCCGTGACTGCTTCTCTTCACATCGGTTCCAGCTCATTATTCACTATCATCCAGTCATTTGATGCTGTGTAGTACTGAAATGAGGCCGTGACTGCTTCTCTTCACATCGGTTCCAGCTCATTATTCACTATCATCCAGTCATTTGATGCTGTGTAGTACTGAAATGAGGCCGTGACTGCTTCTCTTCACATCGGTTCCAGCTCATTATTCACTATCATCCAGTCATTTGATGCTGTGTAGTACTGAAATGAGGCCGTGACTGCTTCTCTTCACATCGGTTCCAGCTCATTATTCACTATCATCCAGTCATTTGATGCTGTGTAGTACTGAAATGAGGCCGTGACTGCTTCTCTTCACATCGGTTCCAGCTCATTATTCACTATCATCCAGTCATTTGATGCTGTGTAGTACCTGAAATGAGGCCGTGACTGCTTCTCTTCACATCGGTTCCAGCTCATTATTCACTATCATCCAGTCATTTGATGCTGTGTAGTACTGAAATGAGGCCGTGACTGCTTCTCTTCACATCGGTTCCAGCTCATTATTCACTATCATCCAGTCATTTGATGCTGTGTAGTACTGAAATGAGGCCGTGACTGCTTCTCTTCACATCGGTTCCAGCTCATTATTCACTATCATCCAGTCATTTGATGCTGTGTAGTACTGAAATGAGGCCGTGACTGCTTCTCTTCACATCGGTTCCAGCTCATTATTCACTATCATCCAGTCATTTGATGCTGTGTAGTACTGAAATGAGGCCGTGACTGCTTCTCTTCACATCGGTTCCAGCTCATTATTCACTATCATCCAGTCATTTGATGCTGTGTAGTACTGAAATGAGGCCGTGACTGCTTCTCTTCACATCGGTTCCAGCTCATTATTCACTATCATCCAGTCATTTGATGCTGTGTAGTTACTGACAGAATCATTAACTGAACTACAAAAGAAGAAAATCAGTTCAGTTCAAACTGCTGTTTGCTGTTTCTATGATAACAAGTTCAATATTGTGCTGCCATTTTTAACACCGTTAGGTCATTGCTTTCTGAGCTGTCTCCCCAGAAACAGCTCATAGGTTTCTCTTTTCTCTTTGAGGCACAGGTTAGACAATTGTAATCACCTTGAAGTCCTGATCTTAGCAATGCTGAAAGGTGAATGTGATGTTACAGGTATGAGAGCAGGAGGAATGATGAGAGGTGCAATTGGGCGTCCAGTAGTGTACAATCCTCAACCACAGCGAGAGCTCATCAATGTGCCTGTGACAGACCAGACTCAGAATTACCCCACTACTTACAAACACAACCGACAGCATGCTGAAACCAACAGTTACACTCCAAATACAGAGGTGAAGCACAATTTTTATTATTGCTGCATTATTATACAAAACTATTATGCCCAAGCAAGCTCCTCTCAAATCCTTAGATCAGTATAGATGTACAGTACTAAGTATGGAACTGTTTACACTTTTGAAGTGCCAGAATTTAATGGCCTGGTCCAGTGCTCCAGCATCCTGCTTAAATTACTCTGGACAGTGTACATTAACATTTTTAAGAAACAGCAACACCACACACACAAATGTTAGTACGCATTGGTAATGATACCAGCGGTTGATGTTTTTGGAACATGGTATAGCATGTTGCCATTTTAGCTCTGTACCATTGGCTGTATACTATGCAACCTTGAGGGTCTTGAGCGCATCTTACCTACCAGACAGTGAGCTGGAAGGGAAGGAGGCTGGCAAGAGCCTGCTCACATCACCAGAACAGACCAAGTGAACATTGTTAATACTGAATGAATATTATTCAGTTTGAATCATAATTCTAATATTTTAATCTCTATTCTTGGTACCCTTGCCATACATACATTAGTACTATTCTGTGCTGATGTCCCTCTAATTGTTACTTCCACTACTATCCACAGTTACACCAGAATTATCTTTTTCATTTGTTACCTCTATTTCCTTTCTTCCCATTCTCAATTTTTCATTCCTACTAAATTTTCCTCCTTTCTTAAGCACTCTTATCTTTGACTTATCTATATTTATCTTCACCTTCCATTGTGTGCATAACTCTTACATGCAATTAATTGCTCACTTCATGCCTATACTAGTTATTGCATCTGCTGCCAGATTTTCTGCCAAGTGTAATCCTGATGCCTGCCTCTTTGGTATTTTTGGAGGATGAGTATAGTCATTCATTTATATCTACAATAAAAGTGCATTATTACAAGAATTGAAAACAGCGTAACAGATTGTTGTACTGGACTTATTCTACCGACACTGACCACTCTGCGTTAACGTGGCTTATGAGTTTTAACAACCTTGAAGGACAAACTGCATATTAGATTCAGTGCTTAAAAGAGTACCAATTCCTGTCTGATCACCATCAAGGCTGGAAACAGCAGTGCCGATACCCTTTTGTGACGATCATGCGAAGAGAAGTGTACCCAATGTCACAAAATTGAGGCATCAGGAGGTCACTTGGGTGTCAACAGGACCCTGAATAAGGTCTTGTAAGGGTACTACTGGCTTCAGGTGAAAATGATGCTTAGAAGTGGTGCCTCCATTCATCACTTATGCAGCCAATCATGGCCCTCAAACCAGGAATTGGAGCCAAATGCATTAGTTCAATGTTGGGGCCCTGTTTGAAGGCATAGCCATCAATGTAGCAGGGCCCTTCCCATGAAACACAGCTCTCAGAAAAGAGAAATGGTGGTATGCCTGAGTAGCATTAAGGAGAGAGCAGTGTAACGTGTAGAGCCATTATTATGCAACAGCCGTGAGATAAGCAAATATATCAGAACTGTGTGAAGGTACTGGCTCAGTTAACACATTACTGCGGCAACAGATACACAAGCAACGATAAAGGTATTGTTGGAAACTGCATTTTCTACTCGGTCCATGCAAAGGTATTAATAAGGATGACAGTTGAAGCAAGAATACTTCAGTTTTATCCAAAATCCTGTCTGTAGTCAATCCATACTAGGTGACAATATTAAAGATTTTAAATGGATGATGCTTTAAGTAATTATCATTATGATGGACTTCTTGTAGGCTGTACTTGAGCAGACTTTCGCATCCTTTCCATTTAATTATTCACCATCATGCTTCATAATCCTGAGTTATTGAAAGGATCATTAAATACATTATAAATAAGTAAATAAATGGCATGCCACTGTGGACATTTTACATTGCAGGTACTGCTAATATGTCAGAATAGTTTCCACAATCCAGTGTTGTTATTTTCTGTTTCTCTAGAGAGCAACATAATGACATATGTAATTTTCAGATATCTGTCATCATATTGCCAGTATGGCTGCTGATGATAATGATAATAATCTGCAACACGTTTACAATTGCATGCATTAAAGAAATTTTGGCTTAACTAGTATTTGATCATACTACCATATGTACATGGGTCACAGTGATAACCCATAGCTGAATTGTTGTTCACTGTTGGATTATAACTTTATTATACCATATATGATGTATAAGATTTGCAAAAATAAGAGTCCGTGCAGTAGGAAGCTAGACTTTATGAGTTCTTGCTTTTTCTTTTTCTCCAGGCTAAAGATTCTTCACAACCAACAAAGAAACCATGTTTTGACTTTGCTCGCTTGGGACCACGTCACAAGAACCCAAACAATTGCTCTTTGGAACTGAAGAAAGTACCCCGCGGTTTGAACAATATCACACACCTCAATAATCACTTTTCCAAATTTGGCAAGATTGTGAATATTCAGGTGAGTACAGTGATCTCTATCTAATGTGATGTTAACAGTGATGTGAGATGAATGTAAATTTTTTAATTCGGATTGTTAATGTCTTCTTACAGGTTTCATTTGAAGGGGACCCAGAGGCTGCACTTGTGACATTTTCGAGTCATGCAGAAGCAAATGCCGCATATAGGAGTACGGAGGCTGTGTTGAACAACAGATTTATTAAAGTGTTTTGGCACAACAGCAGTGAGGTAATTGTTATTTTCATGATCAAAAAGTAATGTTGTATAGCATACTTCAGTATGGAAAACATGATCAGCGACATCTAATATTCTGATTTCTGTAACCTAATGACATTTGTGGAACAGCTGTACATTTTGAGATGAAGAAATAGCTTCTTGTAATTACACTTGTTAATTGTATCACATAGATGAGATTCATATAAGCCTGAACTATAATATTTCTCTGATACTGATATACGATGGGGTACCCAAAAGAAACCGAACTAATTTTTTTGTGGGCAGAGCTTTTGTAGTACCGCGTTTTGCCGCTATGAGCGCATAGAGCTAACATTCCTGAGTCGATAAGCCAACTACCATTGCTTCAGAAGGTAAGGACTAGTTTCGGCAGAGTTTATAGTGACAACTGTTTTGTGTGATCGTCGTTTTTGCAGTGGCTGATTTTTGTGAACAGCGTGCGGCAGTGAAATTCTGCTTTTTGCTCTGGAAAAGTGGAACAGAAACTCTTGAAATGTTAAAAACGGCGTACAAGGACGATGCTGTGGGGAAAACTCAAGTGTTTGAGTGGTTTTCCCATTTCAAAAATGGCGAAATGTCAATTGATGACAAACCTCGTTCTGGTCATCCTTCCACGGCCCGAACACATGAAAATGTTGAAAAAATTCGTGAAATCATCAAGGAAGATCGACGACGGACCATTGAAGAAATTGTGGAGCTGTCGGGAGTGACTTGGAGCTCAGCGGCCAGATTTGTGGCAGTTGGGTGACTGGTTTTTCCATCATGACAATGCCCCTGCTCACACAGCCCTGTCTGTATGACAGTTCTTGACCAAAAATGGTATGACCCCTGTTCTTCACCCTCCATACTCACCCGACCTTGCCCCGTACGACTTTTTTTTGTTTCCTCGAATGAAAAAGACATGAAAGGAAAAAACGACAGAGGTGCTGTCGAGCATCTCAAAAGATGAATTTAGACAATGTTTTGAAAAATGGAATAAAAGATTAGACAAGTGTATTAGTGTAAGTGGAGAGTACTTTGAAGGGGATTGAAGGTTTGTGCTTAAAATTTGAATAAATAAGTTTAAAAAAAAGTGGTTCTATGTGGTTCATGCCAAAGAGTTCTAAAAAGAAGAGAATTGGGGCAACCAGACATTTGAGCTCTACAAGGGTAGCTGAGAAGAGATGTTGCAATAGTTCAGTTGATGGTTGGCAAGAATTCCACATAGGAGGCTGTGAATGTAGAACCTGAGCATGTGAAGCTGAAGAATTTCCACTGGTAAAAACCACTGCCAGGGAATGGCTGATGAAGATACATCAGGCTGGAAAAGGCACAGTGGCCACTGTGGTGAATTGTAGTTTCAGTGGTGAATGAATCCATACCCCATCTATAGTCACGCCCCTAAATACATGACAGTACTAATGAAGTGTAGGAGTTGAGGTTCTCACAATAGTGGCTGTGAAGAGTACTGTTTTATATATATATATGTAAAGCCATGCAGTCCATTAAAAGCTGACTGACATTTCAGAGGAACATGTTGGCTCCATCATCAGGGTTCAGGAGTAAGCCAAAAAAGAAACCATCACGAAGCAGCTTCCTGCTTTATGCTGGTTTCTTACTTGGCTTACTTTTCATCACTAAAGATGGAGGGGACATGTTAACTTTCAGCAAACTACATGGTGATGGACCCCAGAAGATAGCACACTCATGTTACTGAAATGTTCCTGAAATATATGTGTTGCAGGGTAAACAGGAGAATGTCCCACCTCCACGGCCATCAGTGAAGGAACGGCTGGGTGTGCCAAACCCCATTTCTAACAGCAAAGTTCTAAATACACTTCAGCCCAAAGCATCTCTTGCCCTCCAATCTGAAGCTGTGGAGAAGGTATATATAACTGAGGCATACATTACTTATGGTTTAAGGTATGGCACCAGTTGAATACTGTCTTGAGAGTATTTTCATTGGACATTGTCTGGCTCTATCATTCAGATATTGATGAGGACTTATTTCCTTTAAAGGTAAGCAGGTAAGTATCCCTGACTTTATTTGATTTCACAGTTGATCTACAGAGAACATGATCGAATTAACCAGATAGTGAAAAATATCCAGGGAGAATATTCCCATGACATGCATTACTTCTGGTACTAATCACACTCTTTAAATTGTATAGCCCAGAAATAAAAGGAATCTCTAAATTAGCATTCTGAATGACAAAAGAACAGCACAAAATACATTCATGCTGTTACACTAGTTAAGAGGTTAATAGAAAAAGAATGGAGGTGTAAAAATTGCTGCTTGGAAATCTGGTGGCCTCTCCTTTTATCTTATTTCATGTGAGTGTGTCTTTACGTGTGTGCACATGGTGGTAGGAGTATCAGTACACTGTTTGACACTGTTTACTGCACAAACCTGTTCTTGGCAGAAAGAAATTTGTATAGCCATGTTTCCGATATATGCATCGGTTCAAGCAAAATAAGTGTTGCATACAGCTCCTTAGTGTACACCATGCAGAAATTCTTTTTTTTTAAACTGGAGCTGTAGTTCATAAGGTCTCTATTCTTTACATCTGATTTGAGCATAGAACCAGTACCAATATTCCACATATGAAATAATTAAACCTGCCCAGGGAAGCCCATAGATCACAGCCTGTGAAATAGGAATTCCATAAAAATAACTTTTCAGATAGACCCCCCTAACAATAATGAGCACGGTATATTGACAAATTGTTTTTGAGACTAAAGACACAAAAAAAAATAAATGTACTGGGATGATTGATGACTGTAAGCGGAAGCAAGGACATTAAATTACAGTGAGCCTATTTTAACATAGAAGTGTGGAGTGCAGGCCAGTCTGAATTAAATGGAAAGTAACTAAAAATGTCCCCCCTCCCCCAAATAATTGAGATTTAATTGGTGATTATTTTCCATATAAGAACTGGCGTGATTTTGTGTTTAATACCTGGTGCAACATCTTTGATATATATGACTAGATGGGATTCATTTTTTTTGGGCTTTGTTGATATGCATACATATTGTCAATATAATTTTTTGTATCTGTTTTAGGTACTTAATATCATCTCTCTTGCTCTCTCTCTTTTTTTTTTTTTAATTTCTTCAGAATTGAGTTTTATTCCAGTTCAAGGCAGAATCTAGCTTGAAACACTGATTTGGTGTAACTCTTACAAAATTAAACTTCTTTTCAACTTTGTAGATTTGTACAGTTCTGTGTGTGTATCCACCTGATGCTGGTCATTTAGTTACCAAAACATGTGGTGACTAAATCTATATAAATAAAGCTTATGGGATGATATACACCATTCATTTATAAGTATGCACAAATGGGATGCAACATTATAAAACTTTTATAGAATGTCATTGTGTGGAGTGTATTTTTAAGCACTACGGCAATATTATAGTTATATATGCATTTCCATTATCTTTATATTTGTTTCAGATATTCTGTGTTTGAGAATAGCATTTCATTGGGTGGGTGGACTCTGTTGTGGAAAATGTTCCCCAAATGCTCTCTTTAGTTTCATGTCAAGATTCTTCAAAAGGGCTGCCTTTCCTGATAAAAAATGCCATTTCCAATTGTAGGATCTGTTCAGTGTCCATTAATTAGAACTCATCATATTTCACACCTTTCTGTATTAGAGTTCTGTATAACTCATGCACTTGAAAAATTTTATGTCTGAGTTTAGGAAAATCTTATATTATTCATCAGATAGTGCCTGTTATAGGGTAGGATGTGAATTGTTGGTTCATCCTATCTCTTTCATCCATACTTCTGTTGTACTCAGACACATTTCAGCTTGTTTTTTTGTTGGCATTCCGTTTTGCTAACAATATCAGTATTATGGGCAGAAGAGGAATGGGCCTTCAGTTGTTACTTCACGGTCATCTTTTTATGGCTGCAATGTACTACTGGTTTTTTCTTTTGTGAGTTGTCCTTTTTCAGACTGTGTGGCATTTGTTTCTATCTGAACCCACCCAACAGCCCTTTCTTTAAGCAACCCATGGAGAAGTGTTGGGTTCCATTAAGAGTTGTCAATGTAATATGTGAACCTAGTTACATAGTTTTGTGTGTTTGAACATCTCATTCATCAGCCATCTTTCAGGTATAAATTTTGAACTGACAGAAATACCCATTTGCAGATTCACACACTACAAAATTTTAATCCAAATAGTTTTCGTTTTGGAAGGTTGAATTGCTCAAAGGAAAATCTCCCATAAAATTTTACTAAGATCTTACTTACTTACTTACTTACTCATGGAGCTGAGCCCTTCTGAAGGAGCCACCAGTTCTGCAGCTACTCAAGAATTTCCCAGCATTTTATGGAACCCGAAGGTTTACTACCGTGTTCACAAGAGCCCTCCACTGGTCCCTATCCTGAGCCAGATCACTCCAATCGATAACATCCCATCCTATCTCTCTAAGATCCATTTTAATATTGTCCACCCACCTACACCTTGGTCTTCCCAGTGGCCTCTATCTGTGATAATACTTTGTTCTTAGGTGTAGAGAAGTGGAAGGTTTTGATTTATATAGTCTGTTGCATATCTCATTTTGGCCAGTCGTGACAGTTTCATTCATTGAGTCATTGTTAATAAAATATAGACATCAAAAGGGAAGATAAAGTTTAAGAACAGCTGCCATGAAAGAAGGTATTTGGGTGCTCTTCTAATCCTCTGCTATGGTTGTAATTTGTATTTCTTCAACTGTGCTTGCAAAATGCATTGACAGTATATGTTTTCATTAATGCCAGACCACTAAGGGTCTTTGAGGTGGAAGAGGTAGGTTCATCAGATTATTAATAGTGTCTGTTTGGTTTTTAAATGCTCCTGAAACTGTGTCTGTAATATTTGGTTCTCTGAATTAATGCATTTCACAGTTTGCTGTAACATATTTTCAGCTATTGGACTGATCTGTGGTGTAGCTCTTGAGAGGCTTTTTGGTACATTTGTGCGCAGATCAGATTGTCACTGTTACTAATGCCATCACTTTTACATTTTTGCTTTCAACGTGATTTCACACTGTTGTCTCAGGTATTGATAACACTGTTAAAATAGGCAATAAATAATTAATCAAATTTATTATAACGCCATCACTTGGTATGGCACTAGTTTTGTATTAATATCATTTCTGCCACTCCTTAGCAATAATTTATTCACTTTATTGCATCTTATAACACTTGTATGCAGCCGTGACAGAAACATTCTGAATTCTCACAGATGGTCCTAATATCATGCTTTATTCTTTGTCCCTTCCACGCACAATACATGTAAAACATACACATAAAAACACACGGAGAGCTTGAAGTTCGGAGAACCATCTGCGAACTATATGTTGCATCTAGAAATATCCAGATCTAAGAATCATTTGGTATAGACTGCAGCATGAATGCCTTAATTGGATACTAGACAGTTCAAGCCACAAAGCATGTACCTTATTGTGCTTTAGATATTCCAGTTAGTTAAATCAGAGCAGTCCCTTAACAGCCACTCAAGAAATCTGTATTCATGAGATCTAAGCTTTTCACACATTTGAAGTTCATATGGTCTTCTGGATTATGAGACCATGTAGCCTGTGAAGTGGTTACCAACATTTTGAAGAAACATACTGCTTCCATCTTCTAGCCTGCAGATGGAGGTAGTATGTTCCTTCAAAATTTTGATAACCGCCCACCAGACTGCAGAGTGTCATAACTCAAAAGATGACAATATGAAAATTCTGTATTGTTGAAAAACAATATGGTTATTACAGGTAATAATGTCAGGCAACAACTTGACAAAAACAGTGTACATACCAACAGCCCTGAAGAAACAAGAGAGCCCTGTCATCAGTTCATCCATTATCCAAGAGAACTCCAAAGCTCAAGTAAGATTTCAAAGGGCATTACCAAAGCTTGTTAATGTTTGTCTGATTTGTACAGGTACATTAATCGTACTATTGTCAATACCAAATTCATCATACAAGGGTAAGTTAGAAAGCGTCCACAGTGTATTTATTAAAATTAACACAACAGCAATACATAACTCACAAGTGCATCTTTTTTCAACACTGTGTCTACTTTCAATACATAGGTTGAGTGTTGCACAAGCTTATGCATGCCATTAAAAAAAAAAGGATATATTTGACATGGTAGCAAGCTGTGTTTGCACTACCTTGTTAAGTCATTGTCACTGTCAAAATAATAGCCTCCTAAAGCATCTCTGAGGGGTCCAAACTAATGAGAATCTGACAGAACAAGGTCATGGGTATATGGTAAATGTTATTAGATGTCAAAGTGTGTCAGCAGTGGCCAGCAGTATGGGGACAGGCATTGTTATCCAATAACACAGCTTCTTTGGCAGTTGTCATAGTGATTACTTTGAGTTTCTAGATTCAGCTTCTCATGCTCGCACTATAACACGCACTGTTTAGTGTCACCCCTTTCCTGATAATGCTCAGAGTTTGGTCCCTGCAAATCTTGGGAACAGCATTAGCATAACTTCTCCCACTGTTGGCTGAGATTTGAACCTCTTTTTTTTGGCAGGGGATGTCAAATGTTTCCATGCTTTGACATTGCTGTCTGGCTCATGGTAGATGCATGTTTCATGATCACTGACAGTGCAGCTCAAAGAGCATCACCTTCCTCCTCATAATGGTTCAAGAAGTGGTTACATATGTCCAAATAGTATATCTGTGGTATATCATGAGTTGTTCTGGAACCCACCTTGCACAAACTATGGAAAAGATTTCATAGGCAGAACTGTGACAATTCTGCATTTGATTTTGCACTTTTATAGTCACCTTCTTGTTGTTGAGAAGTAGTGTGTGACCTTGTTCAGTATTTCCTTTAGTAACTGTGGATAAGTGCCCTGATTGTTCTTCATCATTGGCACTTGTTCAGCAGTTCTTTTTTAATATGTCAGTCTACTGATGCATGCTTCACTGCATGGCGGAACACCATCACCTTACTATGCAGACAGTCTTCTATGAATTTCCACACCTCCCACACCTTCAGTCCACAAAAATTTTTTTTGCATTTTTTTCCTTCTTCTTTGGTGCATGTGATAAGCAGGGTGGCCCATGTTGATGCCACTCGTTGTGAAAGTCTGAAATACCAATACAGCTGGGAGGTTCAGTGTTTACAGTTATATGCACATTCAGCCATGGGGCCAGTGGCAGAAAAACATATGAACATTTTGCAGATACTCTTTGACTTACCCTTGTAATCGGCCGCGCCATAACTTGAGCGGTTAGTCATTGGCTTCCCACCGCGGCAGCCCGGGTTAGATCCCGTGCCTGGTCAAGTGGGATTTGTGGTGGACAAAGTGGCGCTGGGGCAGGTTTTCTCCGAGTACTTCGGTTTCCCCTGTCAATCTTCATTCCACCAATTGCTCCACAATCACCCTCACCTATCATCTGGAGCTGGTACAATAGGCCAGAAGTGTCCGCAGTACAAGGGATTAGTCCCACCCCACTAGCAATAAAAAAATACCCTTGTAATGTCCCATACCAACTAGTGAAGTGACCCTCGTGTTTGGTGTACTGTAGGGCTCATCACAGAAGCCCCACATTTGGATATATTTCAAATACTTGTCACATCCTTATAACTTATCTTTCTTATAACATAATTTTTATACCAAACTGTGTTTGACACATTCTGGCATAAATAATTGTAATGAAAAACTATGTTTATTTCCTTTTTCATTCATTCATTAATCTGTTCAGTCAGCCCTTTCATCTGAAATGTTGCAGCATTGCACATGAATCATTTGCGTATTATGGTCCGTTGATAGTGAAGTGTTGTAGTGCTGTATATTGGTACATAGTCATGACTAAGTGGTCGTAAAAGATATCACCCTCCTCGCCACCACTGCCACTATCACCTGCATAACACTTTCATTATTTTTTTATTTTTCTGGTTTTTGGAAGATTGGAAGTTTCTCATTGGCTGCCTTGTTTGGTAGTGGGATTGTAGTGTAGCATGATTCACCATTAATTATGTAAAAAAATGCATTACTGAGTTCTTCTGATATATCCCTTAAAGCTCTGGACATGCAGTGACTTGGTACTCCATTTGGTTGTCTTTTAACAACCTGGAAATGAAATGGCAGCAAGTACTTTCATCTCTTAAGTCATTATGTGCAAGCTTGCATGTGCACTGATTCCCATCCATCCCTTTTGTTATCCCAACACTGTTGCCAAATACTAGTGCTCAGTTGGCATGCTTCTAGTGGAGTACAGCCTAGGCAGTAGTAAAACAGGCAGTTAATGCTGGAAGTGAATTGTGTGATACAAATTACTAATGGCGAGACTTGGACTAATGATTCAAGACATTAGTAAAATAAAAGGATGGTGTAGCTTATATACCTTTGGCATTGACTTTGCTTCCAGAATTTGTTGGTTGGCAACTGTTCCTTTTTTCCTGCTATGATATGAAGCATTATTAACAACAATTACAGAGTGTTGAGGCAGGTTGGGGAGCAGCTTTTCTGTAAAATGCCTTTCATGTAACAGTCGTGATCTATTTCATCGTGTGTCATAACATTTTTTAAATAAAATTTTATGTTTGTATAAATCTGTTCTTGTCACTGGCATGTACTGTAGCAAAACAGGAACCAAGCTGTAGGAGTCTTTAATCCAGTGGAAGGTTCAACCAGGAAAGCTTATCTGGGAGTTTTATGTTACATTTCCTTACCTTTTGTACCACAATCCCTGTATTCACCCAGAATTTCATTTTTTTTCCACTCATAAATTGTTTAATCTATCTCAAATATTTGTAACACCAGCATACAGTGTTATTCCTTTCTGTACAAACTTCTTTATTCCCCTTGTTTCATTCAGCATAACACGAAGAATTAGTTTTTTGAAATAGGGTTGTTCAGGATCACTGCTTATGGCTGCCAATTCAGAATTCAGCATTAGTGGTTCATTTCTGATGTAGTATCACTGAAGTTAATATCTTTGTAAAATAATTGTGCCTTTGCCCTTTCCTGCTTGTTGTGTGGACTCTCTAGTGGACTGCTTCTGCTTCCATTTGAATTTCAAAATATAGGCTTTTGAGGTACACACTATTATAGCAGTTGTGTTTGCAACCCACCTCACTCTCTTTCAGCATTTTGTGCTTTATGTTGACAGACATATGTGATATAATATGACGCTCCTTGCTTTTTAGTACCTGGCTGAATTTTCTCTTCAAGCCAGAAGTGTCAGCCATTATATTAAAATATCACACATAATATATCAATAAACTGCACTTTGATATGAAGCTGTAAGTTTATGATAAATGTTGAAGTGAAATGTTTCAGATCTGTATAGTCCACTGTACTGTACTGACCATGTGAGCTGAACAAGCATCACTGTCGTGTTGTTACATTTAGCAAGCCGATCCTTGGTGTTTAAAAAATAAGAAATGCATTTATACTTAGGGGAAATTATGCTTTGTGTGTCAGGATGTAAGCTAAAAATGATACAACATGCAGGTATGTAATGAAAAAAAATGTTGCAGTAGGGCAAGGAAGGAATATATATTTATGCTATTTTCTTTGAAGGGGATATGAGTCATAGAGTATGAAGAGCCTGTAAGAGCTGTGGTCTTTTCTAACAGCTGGATGCTCCATACCGCTTGCTGCATTCAGTCAGTAACATCTTAGCACATTAATGGGCATTTGTGTGGTAGCATTCCAAACAGTAACCATCACTATGTAAGATTTGAGGTTTTCATGGCGGTGGCTATGAAGGAGGCCATCTTCTGGAATGTGGCACCATGTTGATCTTGTAGGAACCTATCGCCACCTGCTCACACTGGTTCCTCGCTCACTGATCTTTCTACCTTAAGATGGAGGCGATACATTCCTCTGAAACATCAGTTCACACAAGATCTACATGGCACCACATGCCAGAAGATGGCGTTCTTCAGTAATTATCACTGTTCAGTGAAACTTCATTTTGGGAGGTATAATGTCATCCTGTTGGCTGCTGATCCAGTATGGTTTCACTGCTTCCAGAAAATGTTTTATGCCAGTTGATAACACTGGTATGTGTCATGCTGTTCTCACTCTAAATTTCTTGCATACTGTGGAATGTTTCTGTAACAGTTTTCTTAAGGTGAACTCAGTACCTGATTGTTCAGCATTGGTTCATAGTTGATTTTATTTGTCCTCTCATAAGCACATTTCAGCAGGAAGAATTGTATCTACTGGGATGCAACGCCATGTAGTCCATTAAAATTCAACCAAATAACATGTCACCCCTCAAACTTCAGTTGACTTTCAGTGGCCTACACAGCTTTATATCCCAGAAGATAAAACTGCTCATAATCACTGCTGTACATTTCAGCATGTCTGCCTGTTACCAGTATTTACTTACAATGCCAGCAGTAGGTAACACTATGTAATGTGATATGCCCAATGGTGCCATCACATATTTTTTTGCTGTATTGTGATTTCCTCCCCAGAAATAACTGGTTCAGGTCAGTCTTACTACTTTTTGAGCAGCTCTAATTTTTTTTGTTTACAGAGCCATTAAAATGATATTTTTACTATTACAGGCTGCTACTGCTGCTGCTATCAAGAAGACACAAGAGATTTTAGCTGTGAAAGAAACACTCAAAAAGAAGCAGGAGGAAAAAAGAAAAGTATGTAATGAGAGTCATAACTCGTGCTATCAGGATGACCTGTCAGAATATATATGTTCAAAATTTGTCATTTTCTTCTATAACTCTTTTCAGCTGTAACGTGTTGTATGCTTTATTGTGTCTGTTACATGTTTATAAAAGGCATTTAGCATGCCTTTTACCTTTAGAATGTATTTCAGAAAGTTCTTGCAATGTAAATGTAGGTTACATATTGCAGTGAAATGCCAAATTAAGGGACCCATACTTAAGGTTTTCCTGTATTTAAAGTATTTTCCATGATTTAGAAATTCTGTGTTTAAAGATATACCTGTATTTTATATATGAAACTTTGACTCCTACACATTTTGGATCTTGCTTGTGTGATCATTCCATGGTGCGTCACTTCTTTGTAACCGCCCTATGCTGTTTTGCCACCTTTAAGATGGCCAGCATTGTAGCAGCACCCTTTTATATAATTGACCCACCTTTGTTGGTAGCACCACCTCTGTGACTACTCCACGTTTTTAGGACGATTCTCACCTTACATGGCTGCTACCTCCCGATCTCTTTTTGGTTGCCACTCTGGCCATCTTCTGCAGATGTTATCTCTTCAGTCTCACATCTTTCCATTGACGTATTGTATTTAAGTAGTAGGAACACCTTTCTCATATCATTCCCAACGTTTCAGAGGGATTGGTACCAGTAAACGCGCTCTTGAAACACGACCACGTTGGCTAAATGTACCATGGTGTACAGTGCAATTCCTGTTTAATTTTCCTTGATTTAAAGATTTCCTGCATTTAAGGTTTTCCTCAGTAAGTGTTCAAATCCACTTCTCAAAGAAACCATAAATAGGGTGGGAGTTTGTAGTATTATCACTCAGAGGTAACTTAAGCTGGTTCATAAAAATATCTTTTTGTTCTAACTACATTTTGTCAGAAAATTAATTTCTGTTCTGTTTGTCTTTGTATTCAGGAAGCACTGAAGCTAACAGCAGATTTAAGGAAAAGGAAACAGGACCTCCTACATAAACAGCTGGCACAGCAAAAGCTGCTGATCGAGAGACTGGAGAGCAGTGGGGTGGCTCCTGAGCAACGGGAGGCTCTTATGGCAACCATAAAAAAGTTGCAGGTTAGTTTCATGATGTGATTTATATGGGTACTACACTACTTTATTCCTGGGGCACACAGTAGCATAGTTGGTTGATGCACTATGCTACAAGCCAGTAGGTCGCAGGTTCAAATCCGGATGAGGTCATTGGATTTCTTCAATTGTGGTGACCTCAACATCTCACAACCCTATGGGCCTCCACAGCCTGTTACAGGGATACTTTTACTTTACTACTTTATTTCTAGGTTTGATTCCAATTCTGCAGTTACGAGTTTCAGTTTGTGTTCTTGCATTCGCGTAGTACTTTATTTGTTGAAATATCACATGTGTATGAATGAGGCATGCAGATCCATTTTCAGAAGATGGCATTTGGAGGGAATTATTACTCTTAGTGAGTTTATTTAATGTTTCTTCCTTATTATTGTCATGTATAGGGGGTATAACAGCTCACACATTAAAGTCCTTTTCAACGATGTTTGTTTGACGAATCTCACTGTTTTCTGAATCTCGGACTGGTCTCTAGTCTCTAACCTCTCAAATTCTGGATCTCTACTCCTTTCATAACTGCTACGTGGCCCACGTAGAAGACATGTTGAACAGTTCATTGTCCTCTTTTTGTTCCTGTCGTCAGGAATCTTGTGTTTAGCAACTTGTTACCTGGTAACAACTCGTTCATTGCTGTCTGTTGTAATGGAAAGTAGTGTTTACTTAGCCGTTGCTCATCAACAGATGTCTGGTTTTGGCTCCACTATTCCAGCTTTCTGACTCGGTGTTTAATTAGTTACTTCATGTGAGTGCTTTTTGTACACAGTATGCTAGAGTGTACAAAGCAATATGTTTTGGTTTAACAGGAAAGCATAGAAAAGATCCGCAAAGACCTGTCCAGTGGAGTTGTGCAAGGTGGTACCAGTACAGTCAAAGCATCCAGTATTATAGGCAGCAAGCAACAGAGTGTGACATCACCAGTTGCAGTGAAAAAGAGCAAAGAGGAAGTGAGTACATATAATTGCTTGAAACCATATCCTACTCAGCAGCAGTAGCAATATGTTTAGAAGTAATGTGTCCGATCTGATAGTGGAGCTACAGTAGAACCCCCATGTAATGTCCTTGAGTTAAGATTTCCCCTCATTTCACAAACAATTTTCAATGATCCCAGTTCAATAATATTATTTAATTTCCTCCCTTTCTGATTTTTGTCAGCTTAGTGTTCAAGTCCTCTGCTCCCCAAAGGACCCATGAATAGGGGTTTCACTATAACTGATTGAATCATTTCTCTGAAATTTTTTCTGGGTTTTCTTGGCTATTTCAGGAAAAAGGTGTGATATCTTGAAACAGGCCATGACCACTTCCTTTGTTATCCATCCAGTTCACCATAATCATCATTGTCCAAGCAAGTTCGCCCATGTGGTAAAGTTTCTTACTTGTATTCAGGAGGTGCCCTGTTTGAATCTAGGCTGGGGCATCAGTTTTTGTGACTGAGGTTTTTTCATGGTTTATTTTTTCCTGTCCATACCTCATATTAGGCCACAACTTCTGCATCCACATCCTTTCCGGTTCATTGTTCACTAATCATCCTACCATTTGACATGACTGTGTTTACTTGTGTAATTCAAGTACCTGTAATTTTGGAGAAGAAAATGTGGGAAAATAATCTCTGAGAATGTGTATCTCTTTATCTCTTTATCTGTGCATATATTCATGTGTCTGTTTCCTTATGTCTCTCAACCTATGTCTAAAAATGCTTGTTCTAATGGATACTCATAATATCTCAAAGCGGCTGAAATATATAACTATAAGTCCGTCCCCAAATTTCCAGTCACACACAATGTAAAATATGGCACTAAGATTTGCATAATAATGTGAGTAGAGGAGTGTTTCTTGTTCTTTAGAGTGGTCATAGTGGATATATTTAAAATAATGGAGAATGATTCAACATTTTATTATCATTAGCATTATCCAAACCAAGGAATTAAAGATCTTAAACTTCTACTTGCAATTGACTGCAAATTAGGAGTTGCTGAGTAGCAGAAACCCTGCTTACTCTTTGTTGCTTGCAAATACTAACCACATTCTGTTCTTAATTTACTGCATATGCATATGTGAGAATGAACCTGTCAGCTTGTATTGAACTGGATTAATAGGTTTAAATTGCCATAATGCTTCATGTACTGCACTGTGTCGAGGTCTGAACACATGGATTGGAATACACACAACTTTTAGAAAGTTACATACGAGGGAGAGTTAGTAAATAGACCGCAAATGAATATAACATATAAAACATAATACTCAGACCTGGAAAAAAAAATATTTCTTCACATATCCTTCACCTAGCGCTATAGTTGCTTGTAGTTATGATCTGTAAGTGGTCAGTAAATCCAATTACCAATCCAGACACTGTCTGTAGTCACTCATACATGTGACAGTATTTTGCATGATTTTAATTCATTTCCATGTTTGTACCACTGCAGTATATTACACTTTTCACTTAATGCCCCTTGATTTAAGGTTGATCATAGAAATATTATGTTTGCAAGGATTCTTTTGTCATATTAATCCAATCCCTTCCATCACATATAGTGTATTTTGTGTTAGCAGGGACTAAGGGAGCATAGTAACTGTTGTATAACATGGTTGCTTATAGGCACAGCGTGAAATATTGGATGCTGAATTAGACCTCTTCACACGACAACAAGAGGGTGGAGATACATCTGAATTGCAGCGGAAAGTGGCGGAGCTGAAGATGGAGGCTCATTCACTTGGACTACTACAAGGAAGTACACCCCCTGTAAGACCTCATCATAGGACTGCTGTGCCCCTGAATAGGAGTCTCAGCAGGACTCGAGGCAGTCCGTTTCGAGGGAGGTGAGTGAACAAGGGTTTTAACATACGAGGGTTGGAACTTTAATAGTAGCAACTATTTATTTACAACTGATACAAAATAAATGCATGTTTTGAAGTTTTACTGTCCTTCAATGTAGTCACCAGCATTGGGTACAACCTGTTGCCAGCAATGTGGAAGTCGTAGGATACCTTTAGCAGCGCCTGTGTTGTTGATAGTTCGAATGGAGCAGTCTACTGCCTGAAGAATCTCTGGAACAGTTCTGAAGCGAATGCCATGAAGTGGTTCCTTCATCTTAGGAATCAAGTCGAAGTCACAAGGGCTTAAGTCCAGGGAGTATGGTGGATGGTAGAGCACTTCCCAGCCCCATCGATTGAACAAATCAGCCACAGCTTGTGCTGCATGCGGCCGAGCATTGTCCTGCAAAATGATGGGTAGGTTCTGTAGAAAGTGTCGCCGCTTCTTTCTTAAAACTGGTCGCAGGTTGTGTTCCAAAAATGAACAGTAATACTGCACATTGTCGGGGAATGGTATGTGTTAGGATAACACCATCACAGTCATACACGGAGAATCACCATAACTTTCACGTTGCTGGGGTTCTGACAAACTTTTGATTTTCGTGATGACCCACAATTACGCCATTCGTTCAATTGGTGTTTCATTTGTGGCTTGTACGGTTTGGCCCATGTCTCATCCAGCGTAATGATATGGCGTAAGAAAACCTCTCCTTCATGCTCATAGCGCTCCAAGTGGTTACAAGCAGCGTCGTATCATAGCCATTTCTGCATTTCCGTCAAATCATGCGGAACCCATCGTAATGCAGTTTTTCTTATGCCCAGGTGGTCCTTCAGAATGTGAAGCACAGTCATATGCGCTAATCCTGTTTCTTGGGCCAGCTCGCGAATCGTATGGTGTCGATCACTCTCCAGTAACGCGGAAAAAACATACACTTCTTCACTGACACTAGGATGACCTGGCTGACGCATGCCTACCACATTTTTGCGTCCCTTGCCACTGTTCTGTAAGGCAATGCAGATTCCCCACAAGCCTCTTGAAGACCTTGATGACACTGTCATGCTGTACGGCCTCTGGCACATTCAATCTTTATCCAACTCCGTTGTTCCTGTTTCAAAAACATCATGACAACACTACATTAGTCCGCCAGCTAACATGAAGCTCTGTTCTTCTCGTCACTGTGCATGCGCGTGATGTAGGAAGGGAGAGTCCATTTGCTCTGAGGTAAGGTAAGTATGTAACTGACGTGTGGTATAAGCAGCATAATTTAGTTCCATTGCATGGCGGCACTATTGAAGTTCCAACCCTCATACATTGATACTGAGAGTCATATTTTTGTGTGATATTCATTAGTATTTCATTTAAATTAAACCGATTTAGTTGATATATTTATAGTGTGGTTGTTGAAAAATCTTGGTTCAGATCCCCTGGTCATTGTATGAAGTGTAGGTAGACATTCAAGTTGTTCAATGTGAATTTCTCTGCTACCACATCAAAACTAGGACAAAGAAATCTTTAAATTCTTATGAGGACTGTATGATGTCTCACTCTGTCTCACAGTTTCCAAGATAAGCACACACAACATGTTTCTTCTTTCACGTCAGAAGATTATGCCGTTTACCTTATTTACCCACAGTGAAAATGATTTTTGAATCTAAGACAACCCCCACACTTCATGAAAGATAGTAGGTATATATTAAATCTGTTCTTTACGATCTTGATGACTAGCCAATTTCATCAATCTGTTTGTCTTCACCGTTCTCATATAATATCTCTTCCTGCAGATTTACTGCTTTTGGTTCCTAATTTCAGTGGTGTGTGTGTGTGTGTCTGGCAGACTTGAGATATATTTCTGTCCTCCACATATTGCATTCAGTGATACTTCAGGCAAATTCGCTGTAGGTTGTGGCTCCTGACCGTGAATCATGTCTGTATGTGAAGTATGAATGAAACTTGCATTTATGGCAGTGTTCTCTTCTTGTGTGTTGATAGTCTTATCATGTATGTATGAGCTGATTCATTTGCTATGTTTTGACATTATTTCTTTAATGATAAGTTATGTAGAATTTACACTTCCAGGGGGCGAGGTTTTACACATGTCTGTGTAGATCACCGACCAACCAAAGTTCTTGTATCAGGGTATGAAGAGGATGAGAAGACAGATGTCCTAGCACATTTTGCGGTGAGTCCTATGTGTATGTCTAATAAATCTGTCTGATTACTTTCTTTCTCACACTTTTGAAAGTTATTTTTTCACCTCCTCAGTACTTGTTTTCTCCAAATTAAAGTATTATATTTTATGGTTAAACTACTTCCCTATACAAGCTGGTTTCGTTGTAGCAATTTGGTGAAATTGTGGACTACATTGTTGATGAATCTACTCCTTCCATCATTTTAAACTACAAGTCTCGGAAGGAGGCTGAGGTGGCCATGGTAAAAGGACGTACGTTCCAAGACCGTTTGCTGTCCATCACATGGTGTAACAATCCAGGGGTTGGTAGAGGAGTCAGGTGAGTGACATGTCTTGAATAGATGGTATAATTGAAGATAATATAGTTTGGTCCTTGTTTGCTGTAATGTAGTAGTTCATTTCATTCAATATGGGTACCTAGCCTTTTATATTCATATCGTCTCATGACAATTCAAAAGCCAAAAATATACAAATTGCAGATTGTTGAGGCAAGGAGCAGAATCACTGAAAACTAATGAAAATGTCTCAGGAAGACTTAACTGACTGTGTCTTCTTCTAAACAATGTAGTGTGACATTTTTAAAGGGGAAGCCACAACTTGATGTCAACTGTACATCTCCATCATGGACTGGTTCATCGCTCTGTGATCATGGTGGGGACTAATGCAGAGGGAGGAAGGGAAGAACTGGAGGAAGTTGATGAAGGCCTCATTGAGGAAGAGGAAGAGGTGAGAAATTAATTAATATTAACTGCTATGCCTTCTACTGTTGCAGGAACCCTGACATCTGAATTTCTTGTTGAGACTGCTTATTGGTATGCCTGGGATAATGATTTCAGCAATTTCTCCATCATATAACTGTGTGTCAGGGGTTATATATTGTGGCATGTCAGGTCATTGATGGGCAACGACCATGAAATAAGCAACTATACAAAAGCCGTTGCTAGGTAATTGCTCTGCTGACAAACATGAACACCACCATTGCCCTGCAGCTGACGCATGGTGTTTTCTACATGGTCTCTGCCAAGATGTTATAAACAGGACAAGTTGATTTTTTTTATTCTATATCACTGCCAGGACCTCTGACTATATACAGCATCAAATGTTAAGTTGATTAGTGAGTAATAAATTGGATAGGATTTTAGACGAAGTGGTTATGAATTAATTAAGGGCCTGACCCAACATATCCCAAATATCAGAATCATTTTAAAATTTGGAAGATAGTATTTGTTCAATTAGACAGTTGAATTTATGTTGCAGCTGGGTGTAGCTGAATTGAGTGAAGACGTACTGTTACAAGATGATGAGGAAGAGGAGGAAGATGGAGAAGACAGAAGCTGGCGACGATAGCAGTCGTGATCAATCTGCATGTCTTGAAATTCACAAGGGTTTGCTTGTAGTGAAGCTCCTCAAGTGTCATGCACAGTGTATAGGAACATGTGCAGAAGTATGTGTGTGTGTGTGTGTGTATATTTTGTAAGTTTTATAAAAATCAAATGCTTTCTTTGTTTCCATGAAGCTGTATATGGCAATCACTGTAATTTTCAACGAGAACATTCCTGTAATAAAACTGCTTGTATGTATTACAGGAAGATGGAAGTGTTGTCATTGCTAATGTAGTTTTAGAGATTTTGTTTTAAAGTAAATTGCATTAATTGACTCATGGCATTATGGCATCAGTCAGCTGTGAAAGTAAAGTTGTAACTGCTGATGTTGAAATTTCATTTCAGACCTTCCATAGTAATACATGTAAGTGTGCTCATTAATGGACAACACTGATATGGTCTTAGTGTTACAAGTAATAGATATGTGCACTTGATTTTATTGTAACAAATATTTGTGAATATTTTCTGTAATGAATTGGTCAATAATTGATGTAAATGACTTTATGCAAAAATGTGCTTCTGATAATGGTTAAAAATGAAAAGATTGAAAAGAAAAGATGTGATGAAAAATAAGAAGTAAAAAGAGGAAAAAGAAAGAAACATTTAAAGATGAAAAATTTGTAAACAAATTACAGAAAAGAAGTATAGAATAAGAAGAAAAGATTAACCAATTAAAGCACGCAAGTTTTTGTACAAAAAATAAAAGAAGTGGGAGCAAAAATTAAAAGAAAAAAAAAACAAAAGTCAAAGCAGAAAAAATATAAAGATTTGCCCCACCAACAAAACAGTTTTTCCTAAAGGAGTAGAATTGTCTATAAAGACATTTCTTTTTCCAGCTTGACCACCTTTCTGCTATGCGGTAAGTACAATTAAATAGATTGCTGTATGGTTATCTCCTTGGAGACCAAGTATGGGCAACAAATTTCCATGCTCGCTTCCTGTTGATGGACTTAAATTCTTTCATCATAGATGAAGGGCTTATGCATTTGTAAGTTCCTAATGTTCCTTAGAGACCTGGCTATAAAGTAACCTATTGCATGAATGTTGGTAGATAAAGTTCCTATGTATGTCAGTTTTTCTTCCAGGTATAGAAAAGCTCACGTCATTGTTTTAACAGACTTCAAGACTGGAAAAAAATGCCTCAATGTCTGTGCATGTCTCAGTATGTGTTTAAGTCTGTATCTGGGTTGGTCCATACATGCACATTTGTGTGTCTTTATTTCTGTCTGCCTGCATGTGTGTATCCATGGATCTGGGTGTGTGCCTGCCTGTATATCAATGTCTGTTGGGTAAATTGCTGCTAGTCCTCGCCAGTACAGTCATTCTTGGCTCCAAGTCGTGCAGGACTCATGAACATATTTTATAGCCATGTCTGTCCCTATGGCAGTATCTCTCGGCGTGTCTATGTTTTTTTTTTTTNCTTACACACACACACACACACCAAGGAGGAGCAGCAACAATCTGTGATATATTTTTTGTGGGCAGAAGGTGTACCAGGTGGACAAATTCATCATTGCATGGGTGCTCAGTAGAGAGACAGTGCTCTCTCTCATAGGGTTGTGTGAGTGGATTCAAATGCTTAAAAATGGCTGTGAGAGTGTGACTAATGCAGAGTTCTCAGGTTGTCCAGCCACACAGAAGGACGAAAGAGCGACGGTTGACAAAATTGCAAAATTCAGCATTGGGTCTGCCTATTCTGTGGTGCATGCGTTTAGAAATATGTTCCCACCACTCGGCTTATTAGTGCAAAGGTGACAACTTTCTGCAGTGGATCGTCACAGGTGATGAAACCTGGGTTCACCACTACCAAGCAGAAGAGCATGCAGTGGAAGCATGTGTCATCTGCTGCAAAGAAATACAAGATGTAACCACTGGCAGGCCAGTTGATGTTGACTATCTTCTGGGATTCTCAAGGGCCTATTTTTCAGAACCACCTGAAATGTGGAAAACCTGTCACAAGTGCAACCTTCTGTGACATGCATCAGAGAGGGCTGAAACCTGCAATCCACCCTAAGAGAAGAGGAAGACTCAGAGGGCATCCTGTTGTTACTGCAACCCACATGTTTGAAACCCTCAAGAAACAGAAGTGTGAAGTCATGGAACATCCAGCTCACAGTCCAGATTTGGTTCACCTTTTTTGACTGCTTGAAGAAGCTCTAGGAGGGAGATTTCATTGTGACAATGTAAAGAATGCAGTGCATCACTGGCTGCATGTGTAACCAAGGACTTTCTATTATGATGACATTATAAGATTGTGGGAAAATGTGTTGAAAAGCAGGGTGATTATGTAGAAAAATGATGTACTTTGTTTTTGTAATCATCAGTAAAACAGAAGTGAAGACTGTTTGGGGGTCCCTCGTGTTTTTTTGTCTGCATCTGTGTTGTGCACGTGTCTCTCTCTCTCTGCAGGTGCCTGCATCTGTCTAGTGCAGAGAAAGGGGAAGAACTGGAGAAACTGGATGAAGAGGTGAGAAATTAATATAAACTACTATGCCTCTTACTGTTGCAGGAAACCTGACACCAGAATTTCTTTTCTGATTGTTTATCGGTATTCACAAGGTGATGTTTTCTGCAATTTCTCTGTCATATAATTGTGTCATGGGTTACATAATATGCTGGCACCAAAGAATTCCTGTGTGCACTATACACATTGAGTATTGTTCTGATTCTGTGTAGTGATGACCTGAAATAATGAAAGGGTTTTGACACTAATCACAACTGCAGGAATGTGGTGCAGCATCATAATAATAGACAAATGCACATAATTTCTTTGTACTTAATGCCTGAATTGAGCATGTTCTATTCAGAATTTTCTTTCCAGTGGAAACTTACCATATATGTGTATGGTAACTGTTATGGTATAAGGTAGCACACTTGAATGGAAACTCATGCCACCATAATTTTATAATTTAACATTTGCCAAACCCTAAGAAACCAAGGTATCACACAAAGTATATCCTACATAATATGTTTATATACAATATGCATATATCATAATGAAAAATTACTTAGTTTACTTATCACCATTGAAAATTCCCTATAAATTTACAGTGCATTAAATATTCCATGAGGCAGGTTTCTGTTTATATGCTACACCAATAATTACAAAACATACCAAATTTTATTTTTATTTCACTTTACAGCACTGCCAGTATCTCTGCTGTATACAGTGTTGAATGGTAAGCTGATTAATGAAAAACAAATTGGAATGGATTTCAAAGGAAGTGGTTATGGAAAAATTGAGGTACTGTCCCAGCATTTCTATGGGAGGGTCTGAGTAAAACCAGACACCTCAGGATTGCTGGAATCGATGCCAAAATTCAAACTGGGCATATCCCAAATATCAAACTAATTTTACAATTTGGAAGACAGTATTTGTTTCATTAGACAGTTGCATTTATGCTGCAGATTGGTGTGGACATACTGCTGTTGCAAGATGATAAGAAAATTAAGACAGGCTGGTGGTGACAGCAGTTGTGATCAGTCTGCATGTCCCAAAATTCACAAGGGTTTGCTTGCATGTGCAAAAGTGTGTGTGTGTGTAATACTGTGACATGAAGGCAAAAACCTGAAAAGTCATACATTGCTAGGCAACAGCCAGTCAATATGTTTCCACAGCAACCAAAATGCACTACTACAGGAAGGGATATGCACATAATACTAGAACTGTTGGAAGTGGTGTTTTCTATTTGATCTGTTTTGAGGTTATACTATAATGAGATAGTCATGCATTCCTGGACTGATGGGTTGAATACCTCCACCATGACCTTGCAAGTTGTAGCAGGTGATGAAAAGGGAAGTCTCAAATCTGAGAAAGTAAAATATTGTCACAAGTCCCAAGGGACTCAGACCTGAGAAAGACTGCACTAGCAAGGGCGAGCAGCATATCAAAAGACAGACCCGTCCTATCATCATAGACGGTGCCCCTCAAAAAACGACCATAACTGTCAAACAGCAATAAATATCTGGTCATGAGCCCCAGATGGGGCTGGAAACCAAGATTTACTGACTGACCGTCAGTCGCAACGTGACTTTGACTCTCACTGCCTGAACGAACAGAGGATTTGTATATAGTGCACAAGGAAGAATTTTTAATAACATGCTATAAGTGTGATACGTACATTTGACAAAGGTGAAGTCTGCTCATAAGATTTACATAAGGACTATGACTGCAAGGGTTCAGCTGAAAAAAAAAAAATCATCACCAGTCACATCGGGCTTAGTGCCCAGACGATGTGACTGGTGGTAAACTGCCAGTTGTAAAGTAACTCTGACACTGACTCTGATCCCAGAGAGGATATTTCATAAGGACTACAACTGAAAGAGTTCAGTTGCAAAAAGAAATCCCTGGTCATGAGCATCAAGGGGCTTGGCTGTAAACCACCAGTCATGAAGTAACTTTGACGCTGACTGAGGGGAGACACTAGGAGCCATGGGTTAGGTGTGAGGTAGTTGCCAGCCAGTAATGACACAAGCAGAGAAGGACATTTTTGGCATCGGTTACCAAGCAACAGTTAGTGAAGACTAATAAGACTTAGTGTGTGCTATAGAGAAAAGTACAATTTGTGAATGAGTAACAGTGCTATAATTACTTGTAGTTATGATCTGTATGAGATTAATAAATCCAAACCGTGTGTCTAGTCACTGAACATGTTACAATATAATATTTTGGAAGTTTTATAAAAATGAAATGCTTTCTTTGTTTTGAAGAAGCTGTATGTGACAAGTGCTACAATTTTAATTGAGAACATCTCTGTAATGAGCTGCCTGTATGTATTACAGGAAGACTGAAATGCTGTCATTGCTAGTGTAGTTTTAAGAGATTTTGTTTAAAGTCAGCTGCACATTTTGACACATGGCATTATGCCACTGGTGAACAGTGAAAGAAAAGCTGTTTTTGCAGACGTTAAAATTTAATTTAAAACCTCCCACAGTAATGCTTGTGACAGTGAACACCGACATAAATGGAATTAGGCTAAAAAGAAAACCAGGAATGTGCTAGAATGGAAAGATAAACAACAAACCCTACACAACAGTGGAAGTAATACACTTCAAGAAAAGCAAAACTAGTTCTCAGTAAAAAATTTTAGAGTAAGGAACAATGTTGTCAAATACCTACTTCCAATACAGTATGCTTTCATGCATATGGAGCCAAAATGATGAAGTGCAGTAGCAAAAAGCAGCAGCGTATGCTACCTAAAGAGAAATAAAAACTCAAGGGTGACCACTAAGTGACAACTTTGGCATCCATATCTGCAACAATGATTCTGCAATTGTGTTTGTCTCACCAGAACCAACTGTGTCAAGAGAAGCACATAAACTAGGTTTACTTTTGCGTGCTTACTTACTTACTTACTTACTTACTCAAGGAGCTGAGCCCTTCTGGAGGAGTTGCCAATTCTGTACCTACTCAAGAATTTCCCAGTATTTTATGCAACCCAATGGTTCATTACCATGTTCACAAGAGCCCTCCACTGGTCCCTATCCTGAGCTAGATCAATCCAATCAATACCATCCCATTCTAATATTGTCCACCCATCTATGCCTTGGTCTTCCCAGTGGTCTCTTTCCTTCTGGCTTTCCCACCAATATCCTATACACATTCCTCATCTCCCCCATTTGTGCTATATGCCCTGCCCACCTAATCCTCCTTGACTTGATCATTCTACTTATACTTGGAGAAGAGTACAAGTTATGAAGCTCCTCACTGTGCAGCTTTCTCCAACCTCCTGTCACTTCATCTCTTCGGTCCAAATATTTTCAACACCCTCAGTCTATGTTCCTCCCTTAATGTCAGAGACCAAGTTTCACACCCATACAGAACCACACGTAAAAGTATAGTTTTGTATATTCTCTAATTTTTATGTTTTTGGACAGCAGACAAGAACACAAAAGGTTCTGGACTGAATGGTAGCAAGCATTACCCGAGTTCAATCTGCTCTTAATTTCCTCCTGAATCGGGTTTCAATCTATTATTGTTGTCCCCAAATATCTCAATTGTGCCAAATTATCAAAACATCTGTTTCCTGTCTTTATGTCATGATTTTGCCCTGCAGTTTGGTGAGACTTAGTTTTTTCAGTGTTTACTTCTAGACCAACCTCTTTACTTCCATCAATTAAAGTTTGTGTGTTTTTCTTTATGGTATCTACATTATCACCCAGCAGATTCACATCATCATTACTTTTGTGTGCTGCAGGCTAAAAATGAAGTTCAAGTCTACAGTGACCTGTGTATTGGACACATTTCTTTATAGAAAAGGAAATTCTCTTGATGTGTCACCTGCACACAAGAACTTTTATTATGGCTTAGAACAGAGTGCACATAATGAAAAAGTTTACAACATTTGTGGTGGTGATAATATTATATGGCCTAGTTTATCATAATTATTATCGATATTAACAAGTTATCCAACTAATTCTTATCAGTCAATGCCATTTTTTTTATTAATATATGAATGAAAAAAAATGAAAGTATGCTACATACTGATTATCTACAGTCAGAAAATGTACATTGTGTACTATGTAATAAATGCAACTGAAAAATACAACACTAAAAAAAAAAAGTTTTTCTTAATACTTATTTCAGTTGAGATAATTCCTTACCCCATTCAGCCTTTGAATTGTATACGGGAACAAGTACCCAAGACTGTGTTTGTGTTTGCACCATATTCTAGGGAGAGGAATACACATATCCCTCATTATCCATGATTAATACATTCCTGGAAATTAGTGCATAAACTGAAACTACCAAGAAATTAGTTAATTTTAACACTGCATAATAGGTATTTAATTCTAAACTCACAAATGAAAAATTCAACAATTGCTTACTATGAAATTTTGTATTAACATTAATATTTTTATTGTACAAGGAGCCAGGGTAGTGCGGTCGATATAGCGACTAGCTACAGACTGGACGACTGAGGGGTTGGAGTTCAAGTCCCAGTAGGGTCAAGAATTTTCTGTTCTCGAAATCGCCATGATCCGTGGAAACCTTCAAGCCTAGGGGTGCCTGCTTCTGCACTCAACACAAACATTCTGCTGGGCATCAGAATCCAGAACAATCCAGCCTTAACCAGACTCCCTTGGAGTGGGGCTTCCTAATGGTTCTCAAGGTAAATTTCATTTAATTTCTTAAAGAAAACTCCCTTTGCCCTTGGCACCAGTAGCACATCTATCACTCTTCCCATGTTTGCTCACAAGAATAATTTTACATTATGACTGCATAAAATTAAGGAGATAACAAAGACTGCATGGCCTGCAGCTGAAGACACAGCGTGCATGGCTGAGAATGCCTATATCTATGATATGCAGCAGTGAGCTCACCCACCTTTCAGTCATTTGTGCATCATGTCTTTACAATTGCTTCACACATCTCAGGGCAACTTTTAAAATTAAATCACGGAATAGTGAAATGGCACAAAGTGAGATCATGGATAATGCGAGATGCCACTCCATATTTACAAGGAACTTAACAGATTCAATAAGACTTCATTTAGAGACTCAACTTTGCTGTACCTAATAAAGAGGGACATCACTGCTTTGTTGCCAATTATTTAAAACCTATTAACTGAGCAGTTCAAAGATCATGACTAGCTTGTACACTGGCCATCTTAAATTTCAAAGTTTCCAAAAATATTTATATCGGACACATTAAATCCACAAAAAAAAAAATCCGAACAAATATTAAACCAGTTTAAATGTCTCCAGGTGAAGGTGTGGTACAATTTTGGTGACCACATACCAAATTTTGGCACAGAGTTATTATATACAAGCCAGAATCAAAGACAGTTTTAATAGCAAGATTCCCTTATGATTTATATTGAGAACAAGTAATGATAATTTTAAACTAAGACACACATCAATTTGTCTCAATATTACACAACCTGTGAGTGATCAAGTCGCCTGCTCTGTTTCTTCAATTAAAACACTGTCCAGCCACAAAGAGCATTGTATCATATAGTGGTGAAGTGTTGCCCCACATTGAGACTCTTCCTAGCACACTCCTCCACCAGTCGGTTCAACTCACTTGCACTGTAGCCAAGCAGCTGCTTTAGGTCACACACAAACTTGTATACAAACCTCTTCCCATGCACCTGGAAAGATAACAGAAAGAATTCATTACATCTATATTCCTTGAAATTAAAAAATCAACTTATTTTCCACACAATAAAAACAAGTGATATAGGATTCCTAAATGTGTTAGAATTGGAGGAAAGCCAGAAGGAAAGAGTCCACCAGGAAGACCAAGACATAGGTGGGTGGATAATATTAAAATTGAACTTAGACAGGATAGGGACCAATGACGGGCTCTTGTGAACATGGTATTGAAACTTCATATTCCATAAGTGCTGGAAAGTTCTCAGGGAGCTACACAATTGGCGGCTTCTCAAAAATGGCTCAGCTCCATGAAGTTAGTTAATTGGAAGTGGAAATGAAGAGAAACAGACCATTACATTGGCGGCTTCTCAAAAATGGCTCAGCTCCATGAAGTTAGTTGGTTGGAAGTGGAAATGAAGAGAAACAGACCATTACAATGCCCAAAATACTGTTAGTCTGGATAAATGAGATCAAGTATGATACATAAAGAGAGAGAGTGGAATAGTATTTTAGTTTCAAAAGTATGACTGGACACTGCTGAAACCCTTACGCAACAGGAAACTCACCATATTATGCACATCACTACTGCAAATAGGTCATACAGTTTTGTTCTATAAAATCTGAGGCTCTTAATTTTTCACAGAAATTTCTGCTAATACTCAAAAATTTTATAATTGTCATTCTGCTTAAATTTATGTGCATTTTTTAATTAGCATATCATGATTCACAGTTACGGTACTATTATTTTTGGAAATAATCCTGTTTACTTTCTGTGCAGGTCCAAACTGCAACCATATACAGTGGAATCACCATTTAATATTTCCTCATTTAACATTAAATCTCTATGATCCCAAGTTAATAATTCAAATATTAAATTTCCTCCATTCAACATTTTCCTCAGTTTGGTGTTCAAATTCACCACTTCTCCAAAGAAACCTTAATTGGAGATTCCAATATTATCATCACCTCCTATAACATGAGCAGAGTCCAGCATCTTTATTCAATGTCTTCAAGCTAAAAGTGGCTCAATTTGCAGAAAAAACTGGAACAGAGCAACAAGAAGAATGTGCAACATCACTAAAAGATTTATGAGAAGCTGGAAAAATTGAAAGTAGTCTTGAAGCTAAAAGAAGCATAGTTGAGCATAATATATGTAATATACAAAAAATGCATATGTTTTGCAAAAGACAGTCAGTTTAAAACTTATGAAATCAACAACAGTGCTAAAAAATCTAAGATGGAGTTCAAAATACAAATCAGGAAGATCTGCAAACTTTGTGCATGCATGTGCAGATACTTCTTGCCTTCACGAACCCAGAGAGCTTCTAGATTGTTCTCTTGCTCTCAGACTTCCTAGCACATGCTGCCAACTGAAGTTTCTAGAATGACTATACCTCAGTAAAAATGTTGTGATTTTGCATGCTGCACAGCTTACATGAGTCTCATTACGAACCAGAAGTGGTTTTAGTGCCAATGTGTGTGCAAACGTGCAACAGCGTGTACTATGAGTCTAAAAGTTAGTTCAATGCTAACAGTATGAGATGCAAATTAATGTGTGCAAAAAGACAGTGCAGTGGTATACAGTGAACTAGTAAAAGGTAAAGTTATCCCCGTGCTTAATCAATTAAGCACTACACCATGAAAACATGTGGGTGGGGGCAGTATAACCCCACCATTCTTGACCTCAGCACTAGATGGAGGTGAGTGGTCAGGTTCATGTCCTGGCTGCTTTGCCCCTTGAGAAAGAGCCCTGGGTACCAACTGGATTAGAGGCTGGGTGGGCCTCAGAGCCAGTCTGGACACTGTGGGGGGGGAAAGAAAAATCTCCTACTCGGGTCAGGAATGGAATCTTGGTCATACAGTCCATACATCATTACTATAATGACTGCGAATTAGTGACAGTGAACTAGTGGACTGAAAAACATAAGAATCTTAAGCGGTTACTGACAATCAGATGTTAACTGCTCCAAAAGGCAATAAACATAACAATATTTATGACAGTTTTTTTCATATGACATGTTTTACTATGTCAGTGTAACATCCTATAACATGTTTGTTATGCTACAAGTAGTATATTAAGTTGAAATTATACCATTTTCATATATTTCTGCAACATTAACCGTTGTTTAAAACAATTATTTTGGAGTTTTCTCTTCCTCTGAGTTTATTACCAACCACTAAGTTCAAAAAAAATTTTCATTTTCAGTTCAATGGAATATGAAAGAAAACCTATTCTGTTGGACCCATCACTACAGGTACTCTCAAACCATGGAAAATCTGTTACACTATCATCAAGAATTTTTAAACTTAAGTGATCAGTTTTGTACCATTGATGATGTTAATCTGTATAAACACTGTATTCTCTATGACAGTCACCATGTATGCACAAAATAATGAAAAATAAGCTGGTCCACAAATAAGTTACTTTGGTTGCATAAATTCCATACTGTGTATATTAAAAAGAAATGTACATGCAAAAATTACTTTAAATATTTTACATAAGATCTTTCAATTCCTGCAACTATTTCTGTGGTCATATAAATTAGGGAGATAAATGCTGAAATGGTATGTATGTAAATATTTATTATTTAGCTACTGTTTTTACTAATGAGAATGGACAGAACTGTTTACAGAAAACACCTACATTTTGGTCTGAAGAGTTGAACAAAAAAATACTGCCTATACATGCAAACAGTAATATGGACAAGAAGAATAACAGGAAAACAATTAAAAATATATATTCAAGGACCAGATCTTGAGTCTGAATTCCCTGCAAACAAGTTTGTTAGCAGGCCACACCAGATTATCAAGACAAGTTTATTTGAAAATTCACTTCTCCAGTCTCCAAACAGCAATCTGAAAGGGGCAAAAGACTAGTCCGGACTGCATATGACGACCACCCAGACTCGTATCTAGCTGGTACCGGGGGCTCTTTCCATGGAGTAAGTAGTGAGGGCATGACTTGACAAGGTTACAAATGTGTACAGATACATCTCCACTCTCCCTTACAACTTCATACATTCATTCATGGTGCTTAATTAAGCACAGAACACTTTTACCTTATCTTACAACAGCAATCAATATTTCAGGCTTACCTTCGCAATCATATCTCCGTCATAGTAATATCGAAGTGCCCGACTCAGTTTTTCATAATTCATGGTTGGTTTATTTTTACGTTCACCCCATAATTGTGCAACCATTTCTGGATTGTGAAGTTTGAATTCTCCTTCATTCCCAAGCCACTGGATAACACCACGGTGCTCTTTGTCTGTCAGCAACTCAAGTAGGAACTGCCATAGCTGGATTTGGCCATTGTTTCCTGTCAAAAATAATATAAATTCAATGTATCTCCTACAGCTATATGGTAACTATACCTACAATTACCAAGACATTCAAATGAACTCATTACTAAAATTTATTCAATCTTCAAACTTCATATTTTGTAGCCACCAAATCTAAGGAACACCACATAATACAATCCAGGTGCAGCTTACATTACTGACCAAAGAGAAAGCACAGAGGTAATGTTTAGGCTTGTTCATAAGTTACACAACAACCTTAAATTTCCTGCAGACATTATGAAGCCCAAATATATAATTCACCATATCAAAGAATTTTAAATATTCTTTACCCTGACTCAAAACTTAAGATATGTGCTGAGGCATGCAAGTACATGAACATTAGAGCTTCTCCACACCCCATTTCCCAGATCTTACAACATGCGATTTCTTTCTTTGGGGGTTCGTTAAAAACAGCATTTATGTAGCGTCATTGCCAACGTCCATCCATGAACTTCATGATTGGCGAACTGTAGGCCATTATAGCGGACATGATACACCAGGTCTGGGATGAGTTTGATTACCATGTGGATCTGTCGTGTGACCCAAGATGCACACATTGAAAGTTTGTAATTAACTCATGAGAAACTTGGACAGTTGCCGCCACTGACGATATATGTTGTGCCCATGTAAGTTGGGAAATAAATTTCTTATTAACTTCTGAAACCGCACCATTCTTTTGTGTATATCCTCTACAGGTATAACAATTATAGTTAGTGAATAATTTAATTATTTCCATTCCTTGTGATGTTGGGGTTTCATCTGTGAACACAACGAGAAGTCTATATTCTTCGATTCAGACAGATGTCCACTGCCATCTTACATTCATTTCATAAGCTACCCACCTGCTGGCACCCGACAACCTTAATTACATTCCACTGATAAGTGTCTTATCCAGTTACCCCTGAATGATGGGCCTAAGCTGTAAAAGGAATGATGATATCAAAATACTAAATCCTTTTGAACCTGTAAATGGATGAGGAAGTTTTCATAGTCTAAACTTTATGCTTCATGTTAAATACCATAAGAATAAAAGGGTTCCTAAGATTCTATCCATGCATAGGAGAATTTCAACAGTAGTACAATCACTGACTTCATCCTATTAGATAAAGCTCCTGACTCCATATTTTAAGGCTGTAGCTTCATTACTGCTGCAGGCACATAGTAATGCAGCGAGAAAGAACAGCAGTACATTTTCATCAGCAAAAGCAAAACATTCCTCACCAGTTCTGTTTCCACAGCCCACACCACTGGATTCCACCACGCTCACTGGTAGGCCAATAATACGAGGCAGCTTGCCCAGCTTGGTTTGTCGTGGTTGTCGGCCAAGTATCTGTTGTCCTTCAGCGTGGGTCACATATTGCTGAGGGTCAATCTGCTTCTGCACCACAGCTGCGAACATAATGCAAAACCAGTTTTGACCATCTCATTGAAACTGACGGATAGACATCATGAATCCCTTGAACTGAAAAATAATTTATTTTTTCAGTCTTTCTTCCAAATCAAATTGTTTGTTTTAAGTGTGGACACTTACCACAAAAGTGTAATGAGACAATATGAACCCTGCACTCTGCCTTCCCCATGGTGCTGAAAGAAACTCACCTACAAACTTGCACTTGCGTAAAAGTTCTAAATGAGTCCAGAAGAGGTCTTCAGGGTCAACTGGAACCTTGGAATGGAAGTCAGACAATGAAAGCTGACAAAGCTGTTTGCCTGTGATGTTCCAATCACTCAGACGCAGACCCACAAGATTGAACTGACGCACAGCCCACTGAAGCCACAGACGCACATGAGCAACTGACCAGTCATTGGGATCTAAACCAAACAAAACCATTATACAGATTAGCTCAAATGATAATGTTTCTGGTTTGAATTTGGGGAGTCGTGTGGTTTCCTTCATCTCCTCCATGACAATACCTAGAAATATCCTACAAGATCTTCGAAGCTCACTTGCATTACTGTCATAACATATGATTTCATTATCACCACCACTTTCATATTTCCAGTACTGAAACCTGTTAAGGATATTATGAAACAAAATTCTTTAACTATTTCAAAGGTCTTATGTGTGTAGGTAGGAAGGCAGGTATGTATGAGAATGTATGTGTGTTCAGAGACACATCAGCATCAACGGCTATTTGTAGTGGTGAAAGCAGATCTTTTTTTTTTATTTAGGGGAATCCAGTACATGATTAATTCTAAAACAGATCTACAGCATGTAAGACTGTAAAAAGGTGAAAGGTCAGCAAGAGCAATAATAAAGGATCTTTTACTGGACTCAATAAAGTTGGCTGTTCTTATTTGATGTCATATATATAAATTTTCTGTATGAGCCAGCTTTTTCTGAGCATATTAAGAAGACTAATTTCAGTTATTACATAAAGTTCCCTGACAATTTTGTGGTGTCATTCCTCAGTATCAAGTTTCATCAAAACCTGTCCAGTAGTTCTGGAAATTAAACATGTGGACACCATTATGCATTAATATTACACACATATAGCAAACAATGATAAAAATATTTACCTGCACATACACAATCCATTAAAATTCCTGATTTCCTTCAGTGAAATTTCAGAAATTTACCTGGGGGGATCTTCAGCCGCTCTTGTTCTTTCTTGAAATGACTGTCCACAATCCATCGGATCACATTGTGCTTCAACTCAGGAGCCTGATAAGTCTGTTTCTGAACAGGGGATTCATCTGAAACAGAAGTGTTCTTGTTACACTTCATCAACAATGAATCTCATACAATGTTTAATTATTTGGTATTAGAACCCAACAATTCAACACTTCTTCCACAATAGCTCATGAATGAATCTCATAATGAATATACACAGTGTGTCCAGGTTCTGTTAGGTCTGTGTTCATTCAAAATACAAGATATTAATTATTTTCAAAATGTCACTCTTTTTATTCAAGACAGTTGCCTTTTGAATCCATACATAGCTGGAATCGATTGAAAAGTTTTCAAAAAACAGTCACTGTACTCCTTTTGTGGAATCGCATTTTAAACTGCTGTACATTCCCTTTGGACGTCCTGGATGGTGTCGTGACGGTCTCCTTTCATCGCCAACTTAACTTTTGGGAACCACCAGAAATCTGTTGGAGCCAAATCTGGCAAATATGGAGGATGATCAAAGACTACGATCCCTTTTCTGGCCAAAAAATTGCACACGATCTTTGATTTGTGGGGTGGGGCATTGTCGTGGAGGAGAGCGACCAGGACCCTTGCTCTCAATATTCAAGTTGAATTCAAAGAATTCTCATATACAAATGATTGAGGACTCCAAGATAATAATCAGAATTCACTGTTTGACCTGGCAGAAATTCCTTGTGAATGATTCCTTTGGAATCAAAGAAAACTGTTAGCAGTGTCTTTACTCAACTCTTTTGCATGCGCACTTTCTTTGGGTTCGGCTTCTGTGGGCTCAACAACACTGCACTCTGCCGCTTTGTGAGAGGCTCATATTGAAAACACCATGTCTCATCACCAGTAACAATCAATTTTGTAAATTTTGTATCGCTTTGGGCTGACTGTAACATGTCTTTGCAGTGTTCCACTCTTGTATGTTTTTCATCGCCTGACAGCGCATGTGGTATGAACCACACACAGACCTTCCGTTTGCCCAAATCCTCGGTCAAAATAATGATGCACAGTATTTTTGGTATTTCCAAAAGATCCTTGATCAGTCTTGCAGAAACACATCTGTCTGATGTAAGGATTTTGGTCACTTCTTTCACATTTTCTTCAGTGCAACTTGTTCTCGGCTTTGATGCACGTGGAGCACCTTCAATGTCCTCCCTGCCGTCACGAAATACAGCATACCATCGAAGAATGTTCAAGCAACTAAAACAATCACTACTGTACACACTTTTCATCATTTTGTATGCTTCTCTGGCTGTTTTCCCTAACTTTAAACAAAATTTGATGTTGGTTCTCTGTTCAACCGCCATTTTCCGACAAGTGTCAGAACAGTACTGTTACATTCAAGGTCAGAATACATGATGCAGTGGTGCTTGCACTTTGAAATTGTAGACAGCCACAGCTGAAACTTCAAGAATCTTAATGCCACAACTACCCAACAAATGGCACTGCTGGGCAAAATTTAAAAAAAATGAGTCCTAATGGATCCTGGACACACGGTCTAAGTTCTATCCAATTCATGCCGCCAAACTTGACTTCTCAGAAATTCATTGTAATAATTGTAATATGATCCAAACACATTCTTGTTTCCCAAATGGTCACTTTCCAAGACATTTCCAGCAAAATTCCGTATACCACTTCTTGATCTCTGAATGTGAATTGTATGACTTGATTTAACTATTCTCATAATACTAGAACAAAGTGTAGACCATAACATTTCACATTAATAATTATTATCTTTTTCACTTCAATCCATACAATCCTTATACCTCTGTTCTTAATTAGTGAATTCAAGATTTTATGTTCCTTAAATTTACACTTTCCTTTGAGTATAAGCACACCTTTACTGATCTCACTAAAACTTTCATAGAAACAATATTACATTTTCCTGTAATATATTGTGGCATGTAGACCTGTTGCTAGACAGTGCCTGTGAGATAGGCAACTGTACAGCAGCCATTGCCAGGCAACAGCTTGCAAACAACAGAGGACTGGTGTGGACAGACGCTCAAAATTGGGGAATTTTTTTTTTGGAATCAATGTAACAATTTTTACAGATTCTAAAATCGGTAAATTACAGTATCTGATTCTATATACTTTCTAGATAAAAGAAGCATTTATTTCGTTCGCTTATCACAAAAATTGTAGAAATAACAGCATTTTGAGTAACATGATTACAATTTTTATTACTCTACGATGACGGGCATTTAAATTAAATCCGTCCCACTGCCACTACTGGAATATAAATGGTCGTCCGATAAAGATTAAATTGGGAACTTCCCACATCCCTCTTCAGCCCAAATATTTTCCACAGCACATTGTTTTTGTTTAAGTGTCTTTGGATAGAATACAAACAGAGAAGAAGAGGAAGGTACCAGACTGGAAACCCTAGTTTACAACAACCTACGCCTGTAAGCCTTACTAATAATACTAATTTCTAACCATATGCATTCTAACCATACTGCAAAATTTTATTTTGAGGAACTGTGGAGATCCTTGTCTACACTTGCCACCAGTGGCCTACATATCCAGATGGCCAGTAAAAAACTTAGTAACAAGCCAAATTTCACACTTCCATATGTACTATGTGCCTACAGAGGTGACTGGGTTCATTGGGAAGGATCTTGAAGTGGGGGAAGAACACAAATCACACAAAAAATTTCTTCAGACCAAATACTTAGAAATTACTGAAAGTGAAATGCTTTCAACTAAATATCTTAAATGTGTTTCAATGTGACAGTACAATACAGAGGAACACATAATCTATTACCTTCAGATAAGTGCCACAATCCATGTATTGTTTCTAAATGCCTAAGATGGACGAAAACTTACACTGTCCCTCGGCTATTTCAACATATTCCTCAGCTGGCTTAAGAACATCCACAATATTTATTTTCTTGATGTCATCATCTACTTTGATTTGCACATTCACCTGCACCAATCCCTCTCCCTGCACACACTGATCAACAAGGTTCTTGTGCCCCTCCAACTGCAACACAGATCATAACGTGCATATCAGAACAAAGAACAATCTCACCTATATCCTAAATTTGTTTTCTTAGTTTATATAATGATGCTGCAATGGCACAGCTTCTGAAAGCTAATATACTGTGACAGTTGAAGGCACGTTATGTCAGAATGCAATCTTTGTTTAATATATGAATGAAACATACTGTGACGTATATGATCAACAGATCACCAGGCAACAGCTCTGTAAACATGGTAAACATATGTAAACGTATGCGTCCATGGTAGTAGAGAAAGGTGCGTTTTCCATGTGTCCGGTAGTTGGCGTAGGATTGGTGACATCACACAACAGCAGGTGGCCATCACAAACGTTTTTCCTCCATGTCCGTCAGCTGAGGATGTGCGGTGACAACACACAGCAACAGTGGGTAGGAGTCATGTGATATGTGTCTACTGCTGGTCGATATTTGTCCCTCAGGTATATAAGTGAGTGACAGAGTTGTGTTTGGAATTCTGAGTTTGTTGTAGAGAGAAACAGAAGAAGCAGAATCGTGCAAACAGAGTGAAGTGGAGAATTTGGGAGGGTTCAACAGCTGAGAGTACAAGGACGAAAATGGAGTGTGAATTGTGAAGATTAATTGAGTACAGATTAAGACAGTGGAGTATAGAGTGACTGAAGACAAGAAGACTTCATACTGGTTTGAAGTGCTAGTTTCTGTGTTGAGATCTGTTGCTAGGAGACGACTAGTGGAAACAGAGAATCCTAGTGCGTGTGCAATGGTAAATTGGAAAGTGTGTAAATCAGCGATAGCACTGTATCGCCTGTATTTAAGTGTAAATAAGAGAGGTTGTAACCAAAGTGCTAATAAATCAAATCATCCAAAATAGAACCAGTCATTCTTGTCACGCATACCACCCTACAAGTGACAATACGATCACTGCCTTCTAAGTACTATGAAGTTGGTATTTGGTTAGACTTACAGTTCTTGGATCAAAACCTCTTTGGGCTGACTGCAATGGGCAGCCTACTGAGTTCTCAACCCTTATCTAACCATCAGCCTGAATAAGAAATGAATCGACAAAGAAGATGGAAAAATGCAGAAGCCAGATGGTGATGACGCTTGCTGAATGTCAGTGAGCAGCTGTTGTTATACCTGAGCCAAAGTAGGGAAATTTATGAGATGCACAGTGTTATCGAGATTATTTTTGACAGAATGCATTAAAAACATAACTAAATCCATTGGTAAATTTATAACCACAGCCCATTCATCTTCATCATGTGATGCTTAATAAATTAAACACAGGGCCAAACTATGGGTGTTGTTTTTAATCCAGGTAATGAGTTGAATGCTGAATATAAAGAAGAGTCTGTAATACAGAGATAGGGGATAATATTATAAAATATTTAAATTATATACATGCAAGTTGGACCATATTATTGGTTGTTTCCTTGTCACAGGCCTGATGTCAGTGATACTGAACATTATCTAAGTAAAATAACCTTTCATTATCCCTACACTATTGAATGGGAATCCCAATATTAAGTATGGAGGGCTTAATCCAGTGAAAGAACAGTTCTTGATGTAATTTACCTCTAATTATTATTACATGAGAATTATCTGAGAAGTCAAAGCAATAACGGTATGGTAGTGCCAGCATATTACACCAAAATTAGTCCATGGCACCAAAACCTCTCCATTCTTCTCCAGATGCTGTAACAAGTGTGCAGCTTAGACAGCTTCAAATGAAAGGATGATGAATGAAAAGATGATAATAATGATGGATGAACAAATGAAGGAGGATATGGACATCACAGCCTATTTTGAGGTACTACCAGAAGGAAAGAGACCACTGGGAAGACCAAGGCATAGGATGGTGGATAATATTAAAATGGATCTTAGATAGATAGGATGGGATGGTATGGGTCAGATTGGTCTGGCTCAGAATAGGGACCCGTGGAGGGCTCTTGTGAACACAGTAATGGACCTTCGAGTTCCATAAAATGCTGGGAAATCCTAGAGTAGCTGTAGAATTGGTGGCTCCTCAAGAAGGGCTCAGCTCCATGAGTAAGTACCCTAACTTCTGCCTAGGGACATGCAGAGAAATCATGAAAATATGGGTAATGGGTTTCATATCAAGATCCCACTCTAGTATCTCTCAAATAACACGTGTACATTTTGGGTCTTATTTAATGAGGTTCTGTCAACTGTGCAGATAATATAGCTTGAAATAACAAGATGATTACGAATGAAAATAAAGAGCATTAAAGAATCTATGACCTATATGAAGAGAATGCTTGGATGAACTGAGAACCACATACAATTTCAGTTAGGACACCTGGTTTGCAGACCAAGACCTCAATCAATGCAGCAGCAGGAGTGCTTACCGATTTGGTATCACACATCCTGACACTACGACATTATATCTTAAAGAGATGGATGGTAACAATTTGAAAAAAGATATCCTATACAAATCAACTTTTTAAAAAACCTCACTTGCATCACACTGTCAAATTTTACATATAATTGAAATGTAAATTCATCATGATTTCAAAACTAATGTCAACAGTAAATTAACCTTTTATAAAACACTGGCACAATCTCACCGTTTGTGCATCCTGCAGCCAGAACTCATATTCAGATAGATCAATACTAAGCCGTTGCTCCAAAAGTGTTCGCAAGGTGGAAAGTGGTTCACGGATATCCATGTGTTGCATCACTAGCCCAGCTTCTTCATCTTCCCTGGAAAATTAACACTCTTAAATCACTCAAACAACAGCTAACTTTGGATACACATGGCCTTCAAGCTAGTTTTATAATAAAGATATACCAAATTCACTTAACAAATAAAATTTTTAAATCTAAAATTCATTAAGTATCTAATCACCCATCTGTTACATCTTTCAACCCCTTTCCCACTGTTAAATGGCATGTTTACCAATATCTATTCCGCTATCTGCAGCATGGTCAAAATCTTAAAAAACTATTAAATACAACTTTGGTTCTAATCACCCATCTGTTACATCTTTCAACCCCTTTCCCACTGTTAAATGGCATGTTTACCAATATCTATTCCGCTATCTGCAGCATGGTCAAAATCTTAAAAAACTATTAAATACAACTTTGGTTTAGAGCATCTGCTTGTAATAGAAAAGCACACAGATTCCAGCATACCAAAACTGACAGATGATGCCATAATGAAGTCCAGAGAATGCATATGAATTTGTATATATTCTATAGGAAGAAAAATTTAAGCTTACACATTCTGAGAGAAACAGTTTATGCTCTCCTACAAGGAAGTAAACCCAAAACTCAGTACATATGCACATAAAAACTGATGAACTAATGCCCAGACAAAGTAAAAACCTTCAGAATACATAATGACTCGGATCTTAGAGCAATTATCTTGGTATTCCTCTACACTTCACACTTCCTAAAAATTAACTTGGAAAGAAAAATACAAAAATGTTACCTCATGGAGCTGAGCCCTTCTTGAGAAGCCGCCAATTTTGTAGCCACCAAAAAACTTCCCAACATCTTATGGAACCTGAAGGTTCATTACCGTGTTCACAAGAGCCCTCCACTGTTTCCTATCCTGACCCAGATTGATCCAGTTCATGCCATCCCATCCTATCTCTCTAAGATCCATTTTAACATTACCCATGCACCTGTCTTGGTCTTCCTAGTGGTCTCTTTCCTTCTGACTTTCCCACCAATGTCCTATATGCATCTTCTCCCTCCATTCGTTCTACATGCCCTGTCCATCTCATCCTCTTTGACTCGATCATTCTAATTATACTTAGAGAAGAGTACTAGTTATGAAGCTCCTCATTATGCAGTTTTCTCTAACCTCCCATCACTTCATCCTTCTTCTGTCCAAATATTCTCAACACCCTGTTCTCAGTCTATGTTCCTCCCTTAATATCAGAAACAAAATTTCACACCCATACAGAGCTGTAAGCAAAATTATATTTCTGTATATTCTAATTCTTAAGTTTTTAGACAGCAGATGAGAAGACAAAAAGTTCTGGACTGAATGGTAGCAAGCATTACCCAGATTTGATCTCCTCTTAATTCCCTCCTGAATCAAATTTTGAACTGTGTCACATTTTCAAAACATCTTGTTACCTATCTTTATATCATGATTTTACCCTGCATTCCGGTGATGAGTCAGCAATATATACTTAGTTTTCTCTGTGTTTACTTCTAGACCAACACCCTTAATAGTGTTAATTAAAGTTTCTGTGTTTTCCTTTATGGTCTCTGTGTTATCATCCAGTAGATTCACATCATCTGCACAGACCAGCAGCTGATGTGTCCCACTTAATTTCAGCACCACCTGGCTCTCCTGGTCCCCCTTAATGGCATATTCTACAGCAAAGTTGAAAAACAGTTGCAATAAAGCACCTCCTTTTTTTAGACCATTCTGGATATTGACAAACGTTTATCTATAGGACTTTAATATATGTTTCATTTAAATACATTTTTATCAGTCTAACTAGTTTCATGGGTAACCCAAGCTCTATGAGAATATTGTATAATACTTCTCTCACAACTGAATCAGTCTTTCTCTAGTATTTGTTGAATGCAAAAGATCAGGTCAGTACTTGATCTGTTATGTTGAAACCCACGCTGATGATCCCCAATAATTTCACCTACATATGGATTTAACCTTCAGAGAAGGATTGAATAAAATTCTGTATGAAGCTGATACTTTTCAAAAGAATGTTACATGAAAAAGTAAGTTTAATTTTAATATGCCAGCCATAAGGCACTAAAAATGTATAAAAGGAAATGTTATGCCTTAGATTGTAGTTATAGAGAAAATGGAAGACAACAAAAATTTGTATTTTTATTTCCTTATTCCATTAAAAATGCAAACACTGTTAAACGTGCCTCAAAATATATGTCCACAAAACAACATACCTCATAAATTAAAATTTGGAGAAAACACATAAGAACACAAAATTGTTTAACTCTAACCACATCTAATAAACTCCTCACATCCCTAAAAAAAGTGAAGAATGAGAAGAGAGAAAAAGGATACTGAATTTATAATATCATGTATCAAAAATATGTAAACAGGAATATCTTCTATAGAAAGATTAAAATCACCAACAAATCTTTCTTCTTACATTCCCATTCCCTAACCAAAAGTGTTAAGTCTGCAACATCAGTCATAAAAGGTCTGACAATAAAGTTTCTGAACTTTCCACTGTGTGCTTGCCATGGCAGCAGTGGACAGAAACCTCAGTATGGCTTGATGACACTGGCATATCAGCATTTCACAGCTGTGTGGTGGTGGTGGTGGTGGTGGTGTTGTTGGTGTTGTTGTTGTTGTTGTTGTTGTTGATCTACAGCAATCTCTTTCTAAGCGACATCTATTACTGTCTGAGTGTGTTTTGGTGTGCCGTCACGAGAACGTCAAAGCTTGAACTGGAGCAATGAATGAACATCAAATTTCTTGTTAAACTTGGCAAGAGTGGAAGCAAAATCAGAGAGATGTTAATGCAAGTTTAAAGGGATAATGCTATGAACAAAACATCAGTTTACAAGTTGGTGACATGTTTTTCTGATGGAAGAGAAAGTGTCACTAACAAAGAGAGATCGGGATGACCAGCAATGAGCAGAACCGAAGAAAACATTGCAAAAGTTCATCAAATTGTGTGTGAAAATCATCAGCTGACTGACAGTAGCATAGCACAGCAAGTGAATATTGACAGAGAAACAGTTAGGAATACCTTAACTGAAGATCTCGCCATGAGGAAGGTGTATGCAAAAATGGCCCCAAAGGAGCTCACAGAAGAACATAAGCAAAGAAGAGTCAAAATTTGCCAAGACCTTTCTGGAGAGACATGATGACATTTTGGGCCATGTCATTATAGATGATGAAATACGGGTCTACCAATACGAACCCTGAAAAAAACGGCAAAAGTGCATAATGGAAGACTGTCAATTCTACATGCCCAAAAAAGTTGTCAGTCCAAAACAATATTGCTAATTCTTTTTGTATCAGAGGGATTGTTCATTATGAGTCTGTACCAACTGGACAAACAGTCAACTAAGTTTACTATTTGCAAGTACTGAAAAGGCTTTTGAAAAAGTTATATGGAAACGACACAAAATTTTTGCCAACAACTCATGAATCTTGCATCATGACAATGTACCTGCTCACATGGCACTGTCTGTGAGGGCATTCTTAGCTAGTAAACAAATAACTGTGCTGGAACACCCTCCTTATTCACTGGATCTAGATCTAGCCCCCAGTGACTTTTTTCTGTTCCCAAAGATAAAGGAAATACCGAAAGGAAGGCATTTTGATGACACCGATGACATCAGGAGTAAAACGACAGTAGTTCTGAAAGCCATTCCACAAAACCAGTTCCAAAATTATTCTGAAGCGTGGACTAGGCACTGGCATCGGTGCATAGCTTCCCAAGAGGAGTAGTTTGAGGGCAACCAGTGATATTCAGCAATGAGGAATGCAGCACTTTTACCATGATGAGTTCACAAACTTTATTATCAGACCACGTAGAGTGCCTAAAAACATTTGCTGAAGACTTATCGTAAAAATAAATGGAGGGGGGGGAGTAAAACTGAACAAACATGTTTGTTTGCTAACCTTTCCCACCTGTTCCACAAATAAATAACCATTAAACTAGCCGCACTGTGGCATAAAAATACATTACCAGAAATGTCTTCTAAACCATGAGTCAGAAAATAAAAATGAAAGCAAATAAAATGTTTCCTAGCCTATTCTGAAAATTTTTTTACAACTGTAATAGTGTCATAGGGTGCCATACAAATGTGTCTATGAGATACTTATCTTTCAAGAGGCAGTAGGAATCAAAAATAAAAATAACAGAAATTTAACAAAACCTGATACAGCAATATTCAGAATTACTGGGTTTTTGAGCTTTGCTCATTGTCCAGTATTCTAGAATATTACACACCACTGTCCCATCCCTTTAGAATTTACATGATACAACAGGACATCTAAACAAGATGCTTCATCTTAAGACCAAAGAGCTCTCTTCTGATGAACCATTATTTCCCACTTCAAACTTAGACTCCCATGTAAACTGCCTGACATGAAACTTGACAGGCAGGGAATGGCCCATATCAGAATGTGAACAATTTAATGTAGCTGACTAGGACTATAAATATTAATTTCACTAACTTGTCTGCATGGAATGCTGTGCATTCCACACTACTCAGTTGCCATGTGCCACTGTGGTGTCTTGCACAGCCAGTGGGTGAATATGCTTGTACTTTGTGCATCCATCTCATGGACAGTATTTCAACCACATGAATTCTGCTTGCATATGCTTTGAGATAACAATCTAGGCTATGTTTGGTGTAATGACTGGATTTATCTATTTTTTTTTTTTGCCTTTATAATCTTGGAAATGATAACCATAAATTAGCTGTTAGCATACACCAAACATTCATCAAATGTGAACACTGAAGATATTTCGAGAGAATAATTCTACTTATACTCAAAGTTTGATTCTCATAATGAGGGCATAACAAAGTTATTACTAGTTTTGAGCCAGCATTATTTGCATGTCTGAATTTAAATCTGCAGTGCAAAGTCTAAGACTTAAGAATCCAAAGAGAAGACTTTTCACTCGTACAGACTGGCAATTAAACACTTTTACCAAATTTATAATTCAAAACTGACCTAAATGCATACCCAAAATTAAATCTGAATTTCCTCACCCTTCTATAGATTGCTCCATTCTACTTGCACCTATACATTCTCCATCATCATCCTCATCTTCTTTTACAGCCACCGAGATACCATCTATGCACTCATCAGTGCCTCCTGGCACTGCTAGAGATGTCACAACTTCCTCACCTTGAACCAATTCCAACTCACTGTCTGCTATCACCTCCTGTCCCATTACCACTNGTCATCCTCATCTTCTTTTACGGCCACCGAGATACCATCAGTGCCTCCTGGCGCTGCTAGAGATGTCACAACTTCCTCACCTTGAAGCAATTCCAACTCACTGTCTGCTATCACCTCCTGTCCCATTACCACTTCTGTAAAAATATGTCCTCTATCACTGCATACTTTCTTTCTTGTCAGGCAAGATGCATGTTTAACTGAATGGTTTATTCAGTAACTGTTTAATTAAGTTATATCAATTTGTTATAAATACAAACCACTCCATCCAATGTGACATGTAAGTTTTTACTACGTTCAAACTTATCTCCCCTACACGTTTCGGTCCTTACGGGCCATCTTCAGAGGGAACATCATTACAAACTGGAAACTACCATCACAATTTGTTACTTGGAATCAAGAGAAAAAGAATTTCAGTGTATGTAAGCTGCTTCTTTAATGATGCTATCAGTGCAGATATTATTTGGCATTTAAAAAGAAAGAAATGTAGTTTTCTGAGAAACAATGATCAGATAGTTCAAATTAAAATAACCGGCTTAAATACAGTACACCCCATATCCACAGAAAAAAAGGAAACATCAGTGTTATCACAAACTCTAATTACTATAAACATAATTTAACGAAAAATATTATATGTGAGTAAAATTTAAACTGTTATACAAATGTTTTTGTAGAAAAATGTCATCTTGTGTTACAACACTGATATAAAATTCCCTTAATTTGTAATTTACTTCGTTGACCGCACCCTAGCTCAAGCAGTTAGTCACTGGCTTCCCACCACAGCGGCCCGGGTTTAATCCCAGGTCTGGTCAAGTGGGATTTGTGGAGGACAAAGTGGCGGTTGGGTGGGTTTTCTCCGAGAACTTCGGTTTCCCCCGCCAATCTTCATTCCACCAAATTCTCCATCATTGTAATCACCCGGGGAAGGTACAGTAGTCCAATCAGTGGCTGTCGTGCCGAGTGGACCCAGCTGGACTCCACCCCACATAGCAAATTAATTAATTTACTTCGTTCATGTGCTTCAGACTGCAGTAAACATGGATGTTTATATGGTTGTTCATAACTAATAATCATGCCCACATCCCAAATTCCTTTAATTTCTGTATTTTCTCAGGGACTGTAACCCTGCAGATAAAATTTTCTGTTGATGAATCCTGGAAGATTATTCCAAGGACTGAGAGCAATCCCCATCAAATCTGGGAAAAATTTTCCAACAGACAACAGTTAAAATTTTTGGGGAACATATCATACAAATATGGTACTTCAATATAAAACATTAAGGAATTTTGCTGACTTCTGGAGTAAAGCAAGAAAGATTATAAAGGGAAGTAATAAAATAATATGTCCCAGTATTTTGTTACTAATATGTTTAGCTCTTCATTCACTGAGGGGCACTGAGAGGGGGCACGCGGTAGCGTGGTGGTTAAGGCACTATGTTACAAGTCGGAAGGTCATGGGTTCAAATATGGATGAGGTCATTGGATTTTTTTCAATTGACCTAATCCTTCCGGCCGCACCACGGCACCGGGGTTCACTCAGCCTCTAAATAAATAATTTTCCTGGGGAGTAAAGCACGGCATAAGGCTGACAACCTTACCACCATCTTTGAGCCAATTGTCTAGATAATGTGGGACCCTCAACGTCTCACAACCCTATGGTTGTGGCCTTCATGGCCTGTTACAGGGATAGCTTTACTTATTTTATATACATACATGAGAGTAATAAATACTTCACAATTCAGAGAATACAACAGAAAAACTTGTTTATGGCTGTGTTTGTTACCTGCGATGGCATCATCAGGGACAATAGACGCCCCGGTGTCATCATGAAATTCAGCCACCAAGGTGCATGCTTCCTCTGGCAGCATGGATGCAGCATCCACTGTCTGATCATCTATGTCTGGTTGTTCTAGCTTAATCTGCTTGCACAACTCACTCATTTCTGGATCCTCTGTCTCTATCAATTCATGGGCCTTGTTATCACTGACAAAGAAGCTGCAACATCCATTCAGTTTCTTTGTACCTAAATGTTACTTCACAACAAATAAGAGCGTTAACAATTTCAGTACATTTCTACATTACAGGCAATCATATCTCTTTACCTTGCACAATGGTTTAAAATACTCATCACACATAAAGTCTTACCTTCACAACTGGAATTTCAACTGAGCACTCTTGCAACTAACCCTTTTCTTCACAGCCTACTGTACAAAACTGCCTAACTGACTTTGTCCCTTGCTGATAACATCTCAGCATGGACCACATAGATATACCACCTTTCCAACAGTAACTCTATTGTTGAGTACGTATTTCTTGCCGCTGGAATGTGTTTGCTGAGCCATTGCCCACAAATGGTCATTGTTTACAGAGTCACCACTTAGCAACACGTCTATACGATACAAAATAAATTCACGTGTTACAACTATATTTATCTCTAAAGGAGACCCAAACATAATACAAAAAAAATACCGTTTTCTTGTATCAGGTGCCAAAGTGTACACCTTTCTTCCACACCCATCCTCCTTCAGAATAAAGACTGCTTGTTGGTGATCCATCATACAAGCCCTGTAACAGAGAACATTTCAGTGACAAAGACAAAATGTCATCCATACATCATAACAAAGACACAATGATATGCATCATACGTAAAGTCATTATAATCAGCATCACAGAACTCATACACAAACATACACACCGCTGCAAGAAACTAATTAGACTTAAACAATATAAAAACATACAGTATGTTCCGTGAGGGGCCACTACAGTCACACTGAAGTGTAACCCTGGCAGTCCTGCTAATCGTAACCTGTTAGAACTGCACTTTTCTTTCATATCAACATGTTTTGGACATTGTGCATTATGCAATGTTAGAAACTGAATGCGTCAACATGAAGTTTTCAACACAACCGGGGTTAAGCCCCACTGAAACACATGAAATATTATGAACAGATTATCGGGATGAGGCTCTGTCCCAAGCACAAATATTTCATGGTTTAAGCATTTTCAAAAGGACAAAGAGGATGTGGACAACAGTCACAATGGACAACCTAAAATGATGTCCAACCCAGAACTGGTGAACAAAGCGCACAATCTACTTGCAAGGACCACTGATTGATATTCACAAAGATGGAAAGTGAACTGATATGAATAAGGTATCAATAAGGTCCACAATTACCAGACTTAGGTAAGATAAAAATGTTTGTGAAGTTAATTCCAAGCTCTTTGCATGATGAGGAAGAACTCAGATGGCTGGATGCTTACAAAGCTTTTGTGCAAATAGCTGATGGTGAACCTGGTATTCTAAATACCATTATTACTGAGGATAAGTTATGGTGTTTCCATTATGATCCTGAGACCAAAGACAAAGTGCAAAATGGTGATCACACAGTTCAACAAGCTTAAGAACGGTTAATTTCCAGAAATCGTACATCAAAACAATACCAATTACATGCAATTCCAAAGGGACAATTCATAAAGAATTCGGTCAGAGAGACAGACTATCAACAATGAGTACCACCTACAAGCACTACAATATATGCTGGTGAGAATAAAGTGTGAGACCAGATCTCAAAATTCTAGTTGTTGGCTTCTGCACGACATGTACCTGCTCATTCAACAACTGATGTAAGAGCATTTCTGGCCAAAAGAAAGGGGCTGCAGTGCTCACCTATTTAGTCCACCACACTGGCTCCAGTAGACTTTTCTCTATTTCTCAAACTGAAACTGAGACTGAAAGGTCGCTGATCTGACAGTCAGTGACATTCAGAAGAATGTGACTGCTGAACTGAATACCTTCACAGCAGACAAGTTATCCAAATTTTTCAAAGCTCATATGAACATTGAAATGAGTGCATTTGATCCCTTGGGGATTATTCTAAGGGAAATAGGTAATAAACATATGTCTGTATGCAGTATTCCTTTTATTTTGTCCCAATCATTTACTGCTGCAGTGTGTACATATTACAGCACTGATAATATAATCTTTCTATTAACACAAGAGACAGCCTGTCTTAAACAAAGGAAGAATAATTGAATCAAGTGTGATTTTATTGTGAGGGTCACACATTCACGGCAAACTTCTTCACTTCTCTTTTCTTGAGGGAAAAATCTACAGTCTTTTCATTTTTAATCCTCTAAAGAAAATTAGTGGAAATTTCATATATCAGATTTTAAATACCATAGTTGTATTTCTCAGCTGAACACATGTTATAGTCCTGAGGTTATTTGTGGCTCACTATCAACTATTAGGACTATTTAGTTCTCTGGCAACTGGACAAAACAGTATTAGTCTTTACACTTATTACAGCATTTTCAATATTAACACCAAAATATATTTTCTTTTTTTTACTGTGTATATTTTGGAGTCCACTGGCAGTAACACATATGCCTGCCTTTGTCACTAGAATTCAAAATTACAACCATGTTAGCTTATTTTATTTGGTCTTAAAATGGAAGAGTTATTCAGGAAAGCATGAGATGAATGTGGAAGCACTGGTGTCCTACATAGTATTATCCACACACTGTCCTGGCAAGTGAGAAAATTTATGTAACCTCCACTGCCGCAACCGCCAGTAATCTTCCGAACACGAGGCACTGATGCCATACGCCCATACACCCTCATACACGACATTCGGTTGTGTTAACGGTTGAGAAACAAATGCGACTTTCAAAATAACAATTAAATGAGCAACACTGCGATTTACACTGTATTTGCCAGAACTGAGGAAATGGTATGATCATGAATGAAATACATTGCATGACTAGTTTCATATGCATAGGATATTTTGTTCAAAAGAGATATTATTACGGAATATTTTAACCTGCAACAAACGACTACAACCAAGCCCTTGAATTGGCAACACTTATCAGGACACCATATGGACCATATGGGAATGTAGTACTTTATATCCAGCGAAAACCAATTATTTTAAAGGTTATGCACTTCCGTCTTCCAACCAACCTATTTCTTGTATTCTATTATGATGTCCAAAGAAAGTATTTAGAATCTTCTATATTTAATATTACTTCCTGATACAGAAATTAAATAAACGAATTTCTGCACAAATACCACAAAATCTTTTACTCACTACCATTTCTACTACATTCGTCTCGTTTCTCCCCACAGCAAAAACTTTCTAGCTCTTCATAGCATTCAAAATCACGGATCACGGATACAAATTTCCTGTGACATCACGTACATTTTTATTTTGGGCGTGATGCAACGCAGTTCTAGTTATTGAGTTGCATATCTATTTACTTAGTAGTCCGTGACAGCGATTACGGCGATGTATGCCCGTACGTAACCGCGAACCGCGAAGAGATGAAAATACAAGTCTGTTCCAAGTGGTAGTTTTGTCTTATGGGATGTAACGCCGCACTGCCAGCTGAAAGTAAGCCAACATTTTGGAGAAATGTGTCACTTCAGTCTTCATGGTCGAACTCTGTTTTCGACCTGCTTTACGGTGGTTTCATGCTTGGCTTATTCCTCGACGCTGAAGATGTAAGTGAAATGTTGCACTGAAATGTCGGTTGACTTTAAACGGATTACACGGCTTTGTATACCAGAAAATAGAACTCTTCATAGCCACCACTGCGATAACATCAGATCCTAAGTACTTTGTATGTTTTATTTTTTCGTGGTGTGGGGTGAAATTGTGCCATACAACACACACAACAACACAATGGGCCTCCACGTCCTGTTACAGGGATAACGTTGCCTTTTTGCCAGGTATACTGGAATTAGTGAAATGATGCTCATTTAACTCTGCAGCTAATGTATACTGAATTCACTTCGTATGTGTTTCGTGTAACCGTATAAGGTAATTGTGATAAATATGATATATAAGAAAAGGAAAATGGAAGGAAATACCATTCCCTATAAATAAGTTTTAGATATCCCTTTTACATTTCTTTAGATATGGATAGTGCAGTCAATATAGCAACTGGCTACAGGCTGGACATCTAAGGAGTCAGAGTTTGAGTCTCTGTGGCGGCAAGAATTTTCACTTCTCCATGTCGTCCAGACCGACTTTGGGGCCTACCCAGTCTCCTATCCAATGGGTACCAGGGATTCTTTTTCCGGGGGTAAAGTGACTGAAGCGTGACACTGACCACTCACTTCCAACTGCTGCGGAGGTCAAGAAAATGTGGGTCTGTACATCCATTTCCCCACAAATGCATACTACTTAATTAGTAGAGCACAGGGACAATATCTTTTTTTAATAATTCATAATTTTTTTTCGTAATTTTCTTGTAATGAAATTATTTCAATAAGACTAGAGGGGTGAAGTCAGTGAAATTTAATGTTAGTGTAGATTGCTAGATCCTGGAGGCTGGAGAAAACCACAAGGGGGAGGGATCCATGTGATGATACTGAACCAGGTGAGTGCGAGTGTGATGGCCCAGCATAAGTTCGATACGTACTCACCACACGAAGACGAAGCCATGGCACTCTTTCTGAACATGGTTTCTGATGGCAGAGTTGTCATATTCGCCATAAAGGTATGCTGTAACAGTTGTGAGACAAATGAGGGTCGATTATTGAGGCTCTCCAGTATTGCTTCATTTAACACCATGAAGCTGAGCCCTTCTTGAGGAGCCGCCAATTCTGCAGCTACTCAAGAATTTCCCTATATTTTATGCAACGCTAAGGTTCATTACCGTGTTCACAAGAGCCCTCCACTGGTCCCTATTCTGAGCCAGACCAATCCCATCCTATCTCTGTAAGATCCATTTTAATATTGCCCACCCACCTATGCCTTGGTCTTCCAAGTGGTCTCTTTCCTTCTGGCTTTCCCACCAATATCCTATATATATATATCCCTTGTTTCCCTATTCGTGGTACATGCCCTGCTCACCGCATCCTCCTTTACTTGATCATTCTAATTATACTTGGTGAAGATAGGTTATGAAGCTCCTCATTATACATTGTTACTCATATAAATTTAGTTTAAATTTATAATTTGTGCTACACAGGCCTACATTTTCACTAAGTCTTATTGTTTTGGAGATATTTAAATTAAAGAATACAAATGCATCAGAATTATTACCTGTGCACCAATCTTGTCATTCTTGATTAAAATATTAGCTTATTTAATTCATCCCATCATGTTTACAGTTAATCAGACCATTTTCACCTCAGTTGGTACCTCATAGACCCGCATATGTTGTGTTATGTTAACAGATAATTTATTTGTAAATTACATAACTTCAGAACATAATAGACAGTACGTATGTGGTACGGAAATGAACTGTAAAGTTATTACTCTAACACTAATAATTCTGACATCTGAAATGTCTGGAGCTTGACAGATATGACACCCTCAATGCATATTAAGAGGTTCAGAAATATAGTCTTCTGAATGTAAGCTGTCTCAGTGCCGTTTCTTCTGGATTTCTGTAACAGTAACTTTGGTTGACTTACAGGATGAGGGAACATTCCAGATGAAGCAGCCAGCCAAAGACCTGAAGAGACTGGGTCCAAAGTGAGCCCAGATAATGGGATGGAGAGACGTGGGCCATGGTAACACAGAAAGGTGCCAAGATGTTTGGAGAGTCTTACAGCAAGAGTACTGAGTCCAACACCTGGGGAGCACCTGTAATTCTTTGCACAGAAATACCGCCCATGCCCATTGAAGGTAGAACCATGTTTAGGTGTTCAGCAAAAAGTAAGAAAGATAGGCTTACCTGGTGGTCAGGCCTGCCTGTCTGTGCTTAAAACTAATTATCACTAGTATGTACTGTTACCTATCACTACTCCTTAAGTTCTACTACTTACTACTTGGTACTCTTTTATGCTGTTACTATGGAGACCCATATTATTGGTTAATTTTTTGTAATCTGTATGGATAATTGATAAGACATGCAAGTCTAAACATATGTCATTACAGAAATTGAGTGTGATTGTGTGGACACAGAAGAGAACAGGCAAAGAAGAGAATTTTGTAATCATATTGAGGGTTATGGCAGCGTCTGCAGCAGCACGGATCCTGCGCCATTGTTGTTTAACCCTGAACCAGTGAGTAGCAACAAAATATATGTTGTTTTTTAGATTAATAATTGTTGTGTCAGATCATGCCTACAATTTCCATTAAAAGAGTTCAGTATACTTCACTTTATAGATATCTCCCACCACTACATCATGGTTCTGGTTTCCTTCATCCAGTTGTTTTTTCAATGATCCTTCCCTTTTTCTTGACTTACATGATTTGTAATTTTTTTATAGTTTTGGAAGTCTCAGTATTTGCACTCAGTTTGTGTTTTTTATTTTTTATTTTATATTTACTGGGCCAGAGCTGGTATAGAGTATGTGCCGTATTTTTGAGGTTACTTGAGGGAACAGATGAGAGGCTTCCATGACTTGCTGAGACAAAACCCCACCTCTCTGTTCATGTTGTCGGGATGGAGTTCAATCTCAATGGCCTCCCTAATGATGCGATCCAAATAGAACTCCATCCCGACAATATGAACAGAGAGGTGGGGTTTTGTCTCAGCAAGTCGTGGAAGCCTCTCATCTGTTCCCTCAAGTAACCTCCAAAATACATCAGAACCTATAGGCCACTCAGGTCCATTGCAGCCCCCAAGCTACAGGGTTAATGCCCTCCATTTATCCTTCCCTTCTATCCCCCTAACAGATACTCTATACCAGCTCTGGCCCACTACCTGATGGCTATTCTACCAGACCCTTCCCCTCCCCCTCTCTACTATTTCCCTATGTAGCCACACTCCTTCTCTCCTTCTCTTATACAGCTGTGTTTACTCGACTGGATTCAGTCTGTTGCACCTGCTCTGCTGGTTCGCTCGCGGATTTCTTCTTGTCTTCTACCCTGAAGATGGAGGCGATACATTCCTCCGAAACGTCGGTTAACACAATTTCTACACAGCACCTCATCCCAGAAGATGGCTTTCTTCAATGAACGTGATGTTTGTCAAGATAAGGAAACAGCGATATGTTTGCAATGTAAGGGTGAATTAAGTGAAATAGAACAGGGAGACAATCTTAGTAAAGAAAGTGATGGTAGGAATAAGAAAGACCCACAGAATCTACAAGAAGGTATGAATGAATTAAGAGATCTACTAAAAACAGCTATATGCAGATCAGTAAAAGAGGTTATTCTACATGAAATTAATGTCATTTTAGAAAAAATAGCTTAACTGAAGTTTGTAAGAGGAAAATGGAGAATGACTGGTGTTGGACAGAGGTGATGAGAAGAATTGCAAAATTATTTGCAAATAGCAGGATATGGATCTGATGCAGCAAGATGCTAACATAAGTATGACTCAAGATCTTATGAATGCTGATCGGCATAATATCAGTGGAAAAATAAGAATTAATGAATGGCAGATAGTAAAAGACAACAAGAAATTGAAAAATAATATGAGGAATGATGTTGGTAAACCACAACAAATACTGACAATTGTAAACTGGTTTGCAGCACTCAGCAAAATAACCAGCGACTTTGATCAACAGAAGCAGTTAGAAGGAATAAATAAAAAACAGCTAGAAATAAAAAGGAAGCAAGGAAAAATAAAATCATACTAATGGGGGACAGTCACATAAAAGGATATGCGTCCGAATTATTGAACCAAGTGGACAAGAAATTTGAGGTTATGGGCATGGTTATGCCAGGAGCAAGATTACAAAATATTGTGCCACTGTGCGAACAGGAAGTTAACTCGCTAATTAGGGATGATATGGTTATATTATGGGGAGGCTCAAATGATGTTGCAAAAAATGAAACAATGTATTGACTTAGACACTTAAAAATGTTTACAAGTAGGAAAAAGAATACAAATTTTATTTCAATCACAGCCCCTCACAGATGTGAGTTAATGGACTCCTCATGTGTTAATGAAGAAATAAAAGTATTCATAGGAAAATGCACAAAATAATGAAGTTAGAGAGTAATGTGAAAATACTTGACATTGAATTGGATAGATCAGGTTATATCAGGCATGGCCTTCATCTCAGTGTAATTTGGAAAAATAGAGTGAAAGAGATGATAAACCAGATATGGGAGCTCTCATCTAAAGACAAGGGAGATGTTATTGCCCAGGGTTGGATATATAATTTGAATGAACCTTTCCAAGTACAGGGAAGAGATAATACAAGTCCAGAAGTCAAGGAATCTCAACTGAAAGATGGAAAAGAAAAAGGAAATAGTGAAATTGAGAACTTGAGTGATTGTGATTGTGACCAGACAGTGGGTGTACACAAAAATATTATAGAGGGAAGTGACATCAGTAATCAACGAAAGGCAATAGAAACAATCTTTGATTGGGAAAGAGAGCATAGTAATAGAAGAAAAAGAAGACCACCTACCAGAAATGAGGATTGTTTATGGGAGTAAAATCAAATCAGTCTCTTTTCAATAAGTGTTATTATACCAAAGACTCACTAATTCTTGTACATCAAAATATCAGAGGTCTTGGTGGCAAAATTGATGAATTGAAGTGTTCAATAGTTAGCAGTAATATAAATCCTCACTTAATATGCTTATCTGAGCATCTCATGTCTGACCAGAAATTATTATTCAGCAATTTCCAGAACTATGTATTGGACACAAAGTACGCCCGTACGACTCATCAAGGAAGAGGTGCTTGTATATACTCGTACATAAGAACAGATATAAAATTTACTGCTATAAATCTAGCACAGTTCTGTCATGAAAAGAACATAGAAATGTGTACACTTAATATTTCTTTAGCTAAAACTATCATATTTGTACTATGTATATATAGGTCACCTTGTGGGAATTTAGAGTACTTTGTAAATAAGTTGGATAAAGTACTCAAATTACTCTATAAACCAAAAATTGAATTTATAATATGTGGTAATTTTAACGTAAATTTTCTGAAAGAGTCAACACGTAAAACACAGCTATTAGTGCTGTTGCAATCATATAATGTATTTCATACAGTACAGTTCCCAATTATAATAACTGAGACCAAAAGCTCTGCAATTGATAATATTTTTATAGATAAGCCAAGAATAAATTCATATGAAGTAATCTCTATTAGTAGTGGACTATCAAATCATGATGCTCAGTGTCTAGTACTAAAAAATATCAATTTCCTGGAGAATAAAAAAGTGCAGGGAATCACAAGAAGATTAGTAAATGAAGATCAATTGCTCAATTTCTTAGTAAACTATCAAATGAAAAATGGGAAAATAAATATAAACTTGATGATGTAAACGAAATATTCGACTCATTTTTAAATAAATATTTACTTGTCTATGAGTCATGCTTTCCAAAGCAAAATGTAACAAATAAACTCAAGGATAATGGCTGGGTAACAGCTGGTATTCGTACCTCCTGTAGATGGAAGGAATCTTTGTTCATTCTCTGTAGAATCAATTAAAACTATTTGTTTAAATCATACTATAAATCCTACAGCATGATATTAAGAAGAGTAATAAGAGAAGCTAGAAGGAAATACAGGGTTATTCAAAAAGAATGAACCGATTTTATTACGCAGTATTTTATTAAAGGAAAGTAATACAAAACTCCAGCCAAGTCACAAGTATTCTACTCACAATCAACTTTTATTTCCTGTCTTACAAGTGTTCACTGTGGGCACCACCTGCAGCACGGGCAACATCAATGCAATAAGAGAATTCCTCCCAGGCGCGTATCAGCATATCACGATGCACAGAGTTAATCGCTGTTGTTATTCGATGTTTAAGGTCATCGAGGTTAGTGGGTAGTGGTGGAACATAAACATGATCTTTTACATATCCCCACAAGAAGAAATCACACGGTGAGGTCTGGGGATCTCACAGGCCAAGCACAAAGAGCAAGGTCTTTGGCCCCCTTCCGACCAATGCATCGCTGGGGCACTTTTTCTTTTAAAAAAGCTCGGACCATCAGGTGCCAATGGGGCAGTGCTCCATCTTGTTGAAAAATGAAGTCATGCGAATCTGCTTGCAGTGAAATGAAGAGCCAGTTTTGGAGCATATCGAGATAAGTTTGTCCTGTAATGGTGTTTCCTTGAAAGAAAAAGGGACCATAAACCTTGTCCTGAGACACAGCACANAAACTTGATGATGTAAACGAAATATTCGACTCATTTTTAAATAAATATTTACTTGTCTATGAGTCATGCTTTCCAAAGCAAAATGTAACAAATAAACTCAAGGATAATGGCTGGGTAACAGCTGGTATTCGTACCTCCTGTAGATGGAAGGAATCTTTGTTCATTCTCTGTAGAATCAATTAAAACTATTTGTTTAAATCATACTATAAATCCTACAGCATGATATTAAGAAGAGTAATAAGAGAAGCTAGAAGGAAATACAGGGTTATTCAAAAAGAATGAACCGATTTTATTACGCAGTATTTTATTAAAGGAAAGTAATACAAAACTCCAGCCAAGTCACAAGTATTCTACTCACAATCAACTTTTATTTCCTGTCTTACAAGTGTTCACTGTGGGCACCACCTGCAGCACGGGCAACATCAATGCAATAAGAGAATTCCTCCCAGGCGCGTATCAGCATATCACGATGCACAGAGTTAATCGCTGTTGTTATTCGATGTTTAAGGTCATCGAGGTTAGTGGGTAGTGGTGGAACATAAACATGATCTTTTACATATCCCCACAAGAAGAAATCACACGGTGAGGTCTGGGGATCTCACAGGCCAAGCACAAAGAGCAAGGTCTTTGGCCCCCTTCCGACCAATGCATCGCTGGGGCACTTTTTCTTTTAAAAAAGCTCGGACCATCAGGTGCCAATGGGGCAGTGCTCCATCTTGTTGAAAAATGAAGTCATGCGAATCTGCTTGCAGTGAAATGAAGAGCCAGTTTTGGAGCATATCGAGATAAGTTTGTCCTGTAATGGTGTTTCCTTGAAAGAAAAAGGGACCATAAACCTTGTCCTGAGACACAGCACAATTTGCCCTCCATTAACGAAAAGTTTCTGGGGGGTGGGGTGTTTCAGAATTTGGGCCAATGACAACACAGTTCGCTTCAAATAGCGAAAGTGTGATGTAGAAACGTAGAAGTTGTTAGAATTAGTTTTGATTCCGCTGAGAGGGGGCAGGGAGGAAGTTGGTTATGTTAAATTCAATTAAGGTCACAAGATTTTAATTAATT